TAATAAAAAACAAAAGTTTACCTTTATGAGCGATTGAAATTAAAGAGTTGCAAACGCAACAAAATACTTCACTTGTTGTCTTTCCCTTTTTAAAGGAAGGGTATAACCGAAACATTTCATCAGAATATGTACACTTGCGTTTAGGCATCACAAAAGACTTCGTAAAATGTAACACTTAAATGAAACGGTTGCTTCTTTTGGTTTCGGTGATTCACTCGATGCAAGATCATCTGATCAACCAAGTGAAATTGGACTGACATGCGTGCCGCACTGTTTCCATTGACTTTAGTCGCTAAGGTGGTTTTACACTACAGATTTTAGCTAAGGGGGGATTTACACTACAATTTTTATCGACAATTTTTTAATTGCAGCATTTTTTAGAACTAGTTTATTATTCTGTAATTTTTGTTGATGTTAAAGACAACTACTTTAAAATCCGGACGCTTATTCAAAATCCGCCCGGACCCACCCGGGCGTAGTAAAAACCCGAAAATTTCCAGGCAAATCCGGACATGTCCGGGCAAATATATATATATATAAATATATATATAGTTATTTTAGAAAAACTATAGACAAAAGTAAAAAAATATATATTCGAGTACATGACATTTTTTTTTCAAATGACCAAATTAGTTTTAAATTAATTTATATTTATTATTTTTATGTTTTTAATTAATTTTAAGGCGCCAGATTTAAAAAAAAATAAAGACAAAAGTTTAAAAAAATGAGCTCTAATACACATTTTTTGACATAAAATCAAGTGTAGCCAAGTTTCTCAACATTTCCCGTCAAACTCCTTAATAAGGACCATTATTCATATAATAACAAACACTTCCATACACAAAAGAAATTGGGGCAACCTGGGGCACCATTACTATTTGCAAAAAGTTTGCTTGAATGCACGTTAAAAAAATGACAAAATTTGGACGGCTATTACTATATATAAAATAAAATATTTTTTTAATTTTTAACGTTATACCTTAAAAGACATTTATTTTAAAGCAATCTACCAAATATAACTCCTGGGGCATTCCACGTTACTCGGTAATTTTTGTCCCGCCCGTCACAATTAAAAATTGTGAGTTATAAAATTAATATTTTATAATATTATTTTTATTCTGCTTATAACTAATTAAAAGCATAATAAAACAATATTTTTAAATAAATTTTATAACGTGTAGTTTTTACTCACAATTTTCAATTCACAAAAATCCCCGAGTAACGTGGAATGACCCTCCTGTTAATTATAATTTATGGTTTATTTATAGTAATCGCATATTTACCAAGCGCGAGTTATTTATATAAAAAATGTGTTTGTTTATTGTTTTAAAATTTTATACGTCACGGTCCTTATTAATATTTTATGAATAAACAAATGGTTGTACATTGTCAAGAAAAGCATAAGAATCAATTTTATGTATATTTTTTTGCTGTAAGGGCAACTTCAGAAATAGATTTTTGGTCACCTATACAGGTCAAATACGACACAGTGCGGCGGGCAAATATATAATAACCGTTGCAACAAACACTTCCTACATCCAAATGACATTTTATTTGATCATCAAATGACATTTGATTTAATCATCAATATTAATTATTAGTATTATTAAATGTGATTTCGGATAAAATTTAAAATGCACCTCGGCATTAAAGTCATTTTTTATCACTCACGTGGTTATTTGCCTCGGCTTTCGCCTCAGCAAATAATTTTCACATTCGTGATAAAAAATACGACTTTACTGCCTTAATACATAAATAACTATTTTCAAAATTAGCAATTATTTTTTGTATTACTTTTATATTTTAAAGTTACTGACTGCTATTTTAGATATTGTTAAATTTATCTTAAATTATTAACTTTAAGGTTTTTACTATATGATTATATAAAAAGATACCAAGTTTTACATTTAAAATTAAAAAGTGATATACTTTTTAAGTTAGCCTAATTTGCCCTTGGTTTTCTCAGGTAATTTATTAAAAAATGTTAAAGCATTGAAAATGAATCTTTTAAACAGTGTTTTAAGAAAAAATCCACTCCCATATTCGCATTTCTCAAATTTCAACGAAAAAATTAATAACTCGAAAACTATTCACTTTGGGTATAGGACATGGTATAGTTAATTTTACTTAAAATCTTATGTAGAATTTTACAATTTAAAAATATACGAAACAAAAAAATGTATGTCATTTCCGGTTAAACCGGAAGTGGCATTCTAAATGTTATCAAGTTAGAGCTAAATTAGCTCCTTAACACTACAAATAAGACTGCCAAATAACAACAAAATTGGGTATTAAGGATATTTAAGATTTTTACGAAAACCCAGTTTATAAAAGAAGTTTCATACCCGCGGGTATCTTAAAAACGTAGCATTTGCGGAGCCATGTTTATACAACCTTTGTGTCTTAAAATTACTCAAAGAATCGTCTGTTAAATGTATTCTTAAGTAACACCATGTATATTATTTTTGCGTAAAAATTGTCAAAAGTATTCCTATTTTATCAGGTAATACATTATTAAAAATATCTCTGTAATATACTTTTATAAAATATTTCTTTCATTTTTTTTATTAAATTTATAGCCTTATATAACCAGAATAAAAAGTATTTCCACGAAACCTTACCCACAAAATAACAACTATATCTGAAGTCAAATAGTTTAATTGCGACGTAATTTATAACCTTAAAATATTCGGACATTGTGATGCTAAGAAGCTAACATTAAGAATATATACGGAAGAGTTTCAATACTCGATAAAATGTTCAAATGTCGCACCCGTTACATTTTGAGAAAATTTTAGAAAATATTCTATGCAATTTTTGTGCATTTAAAATACGTGCTTGTTTAAGGTTACTATTCAAGTTTTACAAAAAAAATTTTTACTATATGCCTTCATCCAAAATTTTTCAATATCAACTTTAGAAGCCAACTTGGTCGCATTTGCCGATTTTCTAAGGTCGCGCCCGTTACGCTATTCATGACGTTATAAAAGGTTTTCTATAAATGTTTTTATTGCAATTTTGTTTAAATTTAATTTTTTATACTATTTTTTATATTAACGTATATTGAAATATATGAACACACTTTATTATCATGAAAAAACGCAGTTTTAGTTTTCAATGGAAATACCCTTTAATAGAAGTAGTTTTACGGTGACTTTTGACATTTTGTCCCAACCCCATTCTTATGTTTTTAGGCAACCCTTTGCCATGACTTAAAGATGTCTTTGAATCGACAACTTTTTTTTCTAAGAACATGTCCTAAAAATAAAATCTCAAAACCAAATTTGCTAAATTTTTTGTGTGGACTTTAATTTAAAATTTATTTTTAAATCAATTATAAAATTGGCCCTAAAAGGTGACTTAAATATTTCACCTTTTAAACGTCTTTTCGTTCTTGGTACTGTATGGGTATGAATTTATCTATAATATAAAATATTTTCCTACATTTTATGTTTAAAATACTGAGACTTAAATTTAGCTCAAACGCAAAAGTTATGCGATTAAAAATTTCCAAACGAAAGCACCAAGAAAGAAATCGCTTGAAAATAATACCACCTAAGCTTGATCTAATTGTATTTACAATGGGACGGCATGTGACAGTTCCCAGATTCTGTTTATCGTTTTTCTTCCCCCTTTTCTAAGCGGCTCGACTATACTTTTTTATTTTCTTTGCGCTTTTTTACTTCCATTTTTAATGCGGACTTTTAAGATGTTAAAACAAGAATAAAAACGACTAAAACGTGTTATTTAATAAAAGGAAAATGAAAATAAAACGCCCCGAAAAAGTTTATCACCATCTGTTACATATAAAATAATAATGGTACTTTTTTAGCTATATAATATAAAATATAATCCTTTTTTGTGTGTGAATAAAATGTAAATTATATTATAAAAGCTTTTAAAAATGTGTATTTTATGGTAAAGTTTTTGTGAAAAAAATCCCTTATTTTTTCTGAATTTGATACAAATACTATTATTATGTTTTCCATTTTATTTTTCAGTAAAATTTAATTTGCATATTTTACTTGACAATCTTCTTGAATTTTCAACACTATAAAATCTGGGTTTTAAACCCGCAAGTATTTTTTAGTGTGTAATTTTTTTTTCTTTTTTGTCATTTATTTTTCTACTTGTACCAAACAAAATCTGTAATATCAAAGACAATTCCGAGCAAGTGTGACAGACAAATGGTGTTCAATAATTCAAAGCATAAAAATAACGTTTTTATTTCCTATTTTTTACCGTATGAAATATGTGACACATTTTTATCGCATCAAAGAAAAAATATATACTGTGCAATAAATATTTCAAAAAATGGCGAATGCGCCGGGATCAATTTATTTAGATATTACTGTAAACTTAAGTGACTTTTGGGTCCAGTAACTGTTTACAGGATAGAGCTAAATACTAGTTTTTGGTTATAGGTCTTTATTATTACTTCGAATACACCAAATTATAAAAACGTTCACTTTGTTATTTTATTTTTATTTAAAATTTATATTTATTTTAAATTTTATCGATGTTCAACAAGAGTGCCTTTTTACGTATAAAACTATATTTTTGTTATATTATGCAGTCAACTTTAAAAAAAAATCACAAAAAATTTTGGGCTAAAAATACCCTGTTTAATACTCAATAATTAAAAACAAAAATAATTTTGTTGTTTTTAAATAAAAATGCATAGAAAATTTCATTATTTTAAACCGTTTCGAAAATAATAATAAAAAACATCTTTAGGGGCGCCCCTTTGGCGATAAGATAATAATAAGTATTTTTCGTAGAAAAAGTATAGTATGCACCTCGTTTATAAACTTTTCTATACACTCATTAATTTAAGTACTCGCTCGTGCCTAAATTAAATTCGTGTATAAAATGGCGTTTATCAAACTTGATACATAATATACTATTAAAAACAATTGTTCTATGCTATATTTGTATATGCTGTAAATATAATTTATAATATTTAATCAATATTTTACATTTTTTCATTTTTTTTGCAGTTTTGGATGTACAGCAAGTCTGGTGAAATTCGTCGTGACGAAGCTTGTCTGGATTACAGTGGACAAGAAGTTATATTATATCCATGCCATGGAAGTAAAGGTATGTATTTTGGCCCCAACATAACAATATTTATATTATGCCTCAAAGGCTTAAGATTTCCCATTGAAATAACGCAAAAAAAAGTTTTTGTTGAATTATATATTTCTGGAATTTTTTTCATTTGAATTACTAATGAACCTTTAGGAGCAAAGTATAAATTTATTAGCCAATGATTTTTGACGTTTTCATGAAAATTGAAAAAAAGGATTTTGAAATTTATTAATAACTTTTTTATAAACCTAAAAAAGTTTTTTCTATTAATACTTGGTGCAAAAACATAAAATTCAAGAGAGATCGTTGGGGCACGTTTTAATGACAATGAAAAATACCCTCTACGAACCTATATATGATAAAAAATCACTGTTAAGCCTGAGTTATAGATTGCCTTCCTTTCTTCCTTCCTTCCTCCCGTAGAAGATGAACATTACGTAATTGTCACCATTAACATTTCCCGTGTAGGAATTTTTAATACTTTGTGATAATATTTTGCAATTATAGTAATAAAAAAAATCAAAGAATAAAATATTTTCTTAACAAAATCATATTTTAAAGTTATTTTAATATTTTAAAGTATCAATAATTGTTAAGTTTAATTAAAATTAATAACGGGCAATGTTAATGGTGACAATTACGTCAAAAATGTTTATTTAAATCGTAGTGCCAGTTATAGATTCCCGTACCGTGAGGACGGCATTCCTTCCTCCCGTAGAAATTTTTAAGTTTTATCTTTTACCGTAAAGGTATTTGACATGACCAATCACAGTGCTTGTTATTGACATGCGCTGTAGGGTGACAGCGCGTAATTACAAAATATTTAAAATACATGATTCTTTAGTTTATTAAATAATTTGTGTCTTTAAATAGGATATTTAGATATTGTTTATGATCAATGTCTTTTATTTTTAGAAACGTTGCTTTGTAAAACCCCCTAGTTTCCCGGTCTTGGTAAAGTGTGTCTTCCAACGTCTTGTTTGATGTTTTTTTCATTATACTGCCCTACTATGGAAAAAGGCAGTAACTACAAATGCGTTTTCTTCTGCTATGATAAAGCTATGGACATTTTGTATCGTAATTCAACAAAAAAATGCAGTAAACTATCTTTTAAGTTAAATAAATCAGTTAAATACCTAGGTACTGCTTTTTATAAAAATGTAGTTTATGCTAATTTCCCACAAATTTCTTGTTTAGCAGTTACTGCCTACACACAATGGGTAAAACGCAGAATATAAACAAAAACAAATGTCAACCATTTTAGGTGTCATCGCGCATGGTTACGGAATTTTACACGGAAATCTATAAATTGACTTTTTACAAGACGCACAAATCGTACGGGCACGACTACGGGAGGAAGGAAGGAAGGCAATCTATAATTTAGGCTTTATAGGTATTAAAAATGTCTGATTATAATGTCGCTCATAAAAGTGCATTAAAATGGTGTCGCTTTTCAATAAGATATTTTGGTAAAGCAACTTTAAGAAGGCAATGTTTCAGTACAATTTACTTACTAAAAACTTAAATAACCTCTAATGGGATTTTTTCCAACAGTTAAGTTTACGTACGAGGTGTGTTCAGAAAATATCGGGAATTTTCGTTTTTTGAAACAATTATTTATTTATTCGTCTACATTAATGTTGTCGCCTTCAAAATAGTCCCCATTGGATATGCACATGTGCCAGCTCTTCTTCCAATACTCGAAACACTTCTAAAACTCTATCTTTGGGATAGCCTTTAGTTCTTTCAGCGATGCGCTTTTAATGTCATCTATGCTTGCAAAACGACGGCCCTTTAAGGTTCTCTTTATTATTGGGAATAGGAAAAAGTCAGACAGAGGCATGTCTGGTGAATATGGAGGCTGGGGCATCATTACAGTATTGTTTTTACCAAAAATGTTGTTCAAAATATAACAATTTTAGAACAAATTTTGCTGCCACGCGTTTCATACCCAATACATTTGAAACAATTTCATGGGATGATCCAATCGATATACCAACATCATCAGCGACTTCTCTGATGGTTTATAACCATTTCTTCCACTTTTTCCATGTTTTTATCGGTTGTTAATGTGCTTGTGCGTTCAGGGCGTTCGTCATCTTCAACGTCTTCACGGCCATCTTGGAAATTCTTATACCACTTGTAAACTCTTGTTTTACTTATAGCAGACTCACTATAGGCCTTTGTGAACATTTCACAGAATTTATTTCATTTTTTAAGCAAAATTGGATAGAAATTCTTTGATCCATTTCTTTTAACGAACGAAAAATCGCCGAGCTCATAAAACACGTCTAACCTTAGCGGCTGCCACAGACAAAGTAAACAATGAAAACAGCTTTACTTTGGGGGCATATATACCAACATAATAAAGAAAATTGTATGACAACCGGACCCTCCGAACCCGCGAAATTTAACAATTCCCGTTATTTTCTGAACACACCTGGTATACTAGAGGAGAAATTTCCCAAATAAACCTACGATTTTTGACGTGGAAAGGAAAATTAAAATTAAGATTGAAATGTCATCCACTCATTAATAAAGTCGCGTTAAATTTCTGCACCGTTTGATTGAAAAAACATTTTCTCTTCTGATTTCATTTTATAATAATAATAATATTAATATTTATTAGTGCTATTACCAAAAGGTTTACAACGTCAGAAAAATACAAATATAAAAATAGTACAAGAAATGTAAATATAAATTAAACAAAGAATATAATAAAATAAGGACACAATTAAAAGGTAAAGTTTAAAAACTCATCAATCGAATAAAATGAATGAGTAGTAAAAAAGGATTTTAAAAACAGTTTGTATTCATTAAAAGCCATATTTTTTACATTATTTGGGAGTTTGTTATAAAAATTAATTTCATAAAAATCAGGTCCACTCTGGCACCTTTTCAGTCTAGAGAATTGATTAATTAAGTTGCCTTTATTTCTGGTGTTATGGTTATGTACATAGTCTTGACTTTTATATAAGTATAAATTATTTTTTACGTATACCAAATTATGAAAAATAAATAAGGCAGGAAAAGTCATAATTCCAAGTCTTCTAAATTCAGCCCTGCAATCGTCCCTATTTTGAAATTTTAACACCACATTTTATAATCTCAACATGCCTTTACCCAAAGACTTTTTCTGTCGTGGATAAAAGATTTTTTATATTTTGTTTTTTAGGTAATCAATTTTGGGATTACGATTCTGAAAACAACCTCTTACGTCACGGCAGCAGCGACAAGTGTTTGGCGATCAACGAGGCCAAAAACAAGCTGACGATGGAGCATTGCGACGCCGCCATCAAACGGCAACAGTGGAAACTCGAAAACTACGACGCGTCGAAATTGTGATTTTTTTCGAAAGACTATTCGAAATGGCCAACCGTTTACTCGGAAATTACGGACTTGTAATTTTATTTTTTAGTGAGTGTTGTAAGGACATTTTTTAAATTTTTATTTAATGAAAAACATTGTACAGAGTTTTTAATACGGTAAAGTGTTAATGTGTAATAAGCAAATAAATAAATAATCGTGTGCGATATTTTTCTGCATATCAGTTACATATTCGGTTTACATAACATATCTATCATATTAATTATATATATTTTTTGTATATACAATCCTTTTTAACGTACTGTTTTTATTGTACTGTTTTTAATATAAAATAACAGAAATATTTAATGGTAAATAATTAAATCCCTAATACCTAATAAAGGCACAAGTGCAGGTCAGTAAAAGGTATTTACAAAAACGAAACTGTACTAGTAAGGTTAATTACTTAAATCAACTTATTTTGGTCTAAGAAATATGTTATGTTTTTAAAAAGACCTTTTACTGAAACCCTGTATATTATTTAATAACAGTTCCTATGCAAAAATAAAAAGTTATGTGTTAAAAAAATTGTAGGTATTTTCCATTAAATATTCTGGTATACATTATTCCATACACATATCCTATTGATTTTTGTGCTCAATATATAAATAAACATTCCATAATTAATATTACGTAAAATCTTTTTGTACTTAATTAGAAAAAAGACTGTTTTTGTTAACTTAGATTATTCCAGCCGTCAAATATCACTTTTCCTGCAAAATTTAGTGAATATAACATATCTCAACATGTTACTGTTAAAAACAGTAAAATGTTAATCAATTTCAATTTTATTGTACATTTTTAATAGAATTTTATCTTATTGAATATAAGACAACTCCATGTGTTATATGCTCTAAGAATTATATTTATCCCATTACTTTGTGATATAATTTGAACGTTGTCAAATAAAAAATTAAAATTATTGTCAATTAAATTTGTTCTTTTTTAATTTGCTCAATGAAATCTAGAGAAATAAAAATTTTACAGCAAAAATCTTTGCTATAAATTTAGTTTTATTAGGGCTTATTCTGTATTTTTTTGACTAAAATTGTCTAATCATCATAATCTAATTAAAATTAAAATACAGAAATACTGCCCTCTAAATTTAAGCCATATGTTTTATTATTTTGTATATAAGATATAAATATTTTTTTTTCTTTTTCATAAATCAATGAGTGTATTCATATTGTACTTAACAAGATAAAAGAAAAAAGTTTATTGTATTTATATTACGTATGTAGGCCAGTGTATTGTATTTTTATAACGTGCCTTAATTTTTTCTGTATATAAAACGTTAATAAATATTATGTTAATATTTTGTTTTTTTTATTTTAATCCAAAATATCATAAAATTACATTAGTTTATGTACAAAGATGGACTTAGTTTTATCACAATAAAATATTTTGCAGTTAATAATTTAGGCCACCTTTTATACATACAAAGTGTCCAGAAAGGCTTATGTTAAAAGAAAACCTTTAAATCAAATATATTGATGCATGGCGCCACCTTTTAACAAAAAGCGAAAGTTTAAATCGCAGAAAACCTTATTTACTTTTATATTTAAAGAATATATTTTAAATAATTTAAAACAGCAATATGGTGTTTTCAGTTTATTATTTATTATAGTCTCTAGTGAGCATACGCCCTTAGGATTGTGTAATAATATTAATATATTATAATTTATAATATACATTCAAGACCACCATAACTCAAAAACATTGATATGAGATAATCAAGTTAGAAGTTTTGCAAAGGTTAAAGGAATGTTTTGAAGAAAGTAAGGACACAATATCGCCCTTTTGAAACCTTTGCATGGCAAATCAAATGGATTTTAATCAGTATTTTTTGTAAACGTCTATATTATTTAGAAAGATTTTATTTTATTACTTATTGTTGGTATTGCACTACAAGTGTGTCTTATATTTTCTAATTATGTTGCATTAATAAAGTTTAAGTATGGAATTTTGACTTTTCTTGTGACAATAAATAAAACAGATTTTTGTTAATATAATTTATTTTAATTAAACAAAAAATTGAGAACTAACGAAACTAAGAAAACTTCTCAAGACTTTACTTTTTCTTTCAGTTTGAACTTTTTGGTTGAGACGACTTATAAAAATAATGATATTATTCTTTTACGGGCATTGTTTTGCAAAGAAATCAGTCCCTCTTTCTTTTTATAAATTATTACATAAAATTGCAAACAATATTAAGATAAATTAGATTAATTTAGGCACCATATATTTTTATATGGTGAGTACGCACTTACACAACAGATATTTTGAGTTATGGTGTGCGATATTATAACTGTATTAAATGATTATTTTTTTAGATAAAACATATTTCATGTTTTATTCATTAAGGTAATTCTTAAATTAAATCATAGGTATAATTATACCTATGATTTAATTTAAGAATATTAATATTGTTCTCTGTTTATATTTTTATTTTTAAGAACTCCATTTAGGTAAATTAGTTATATATTTAATTATGATTAAATTAAAAATAATAAGTATATTTAAGGTACTATAAATCAAGATCACGTCATACAGGGTGTTACATAAAGTTTGGGGAAAAATGAAATGGTTGATTCCTTAGTAAAAAATAATAAGTTATTCTTTACATGGTTTCATTTTTAAGTTAATAAAAGATAAGGAATCGAAATCCTAAAAATTGAATGGCTTATTATTAAAATTACATTTTTTTAATATTTTAACTTAAAATTTTTAAGTTACATACCTACCTATTTCTGCTTACTTAAGTGGCCAAGACGAATCGATCGTTTGGTGATAAAAAAACAAAATTTGGGCTATAGGCTTCATCGCCAACTTCATTCCAAAAACTTGATTTTTTGGGTATTGCTCTAGGCTGAGCTTGTTTTTGTTTTTTCGAGTCTAAATTGACAAAAATCGTATTTCAATATTTTGATTTTAAGCAAGTTTAGATTAAAGACACAGCTCTAACAATAAAATGCTGTTTAATTTTTTTAATAAGCCAAAATCAAGGAACTCATGCTTTTGTATGTGTCTTGCGAAATCTTTAGATTTGATTGGCTTTTAAGAAATGAAAAAGTGTCAATAAAAAAGTACCTACTAGTTAAAAATCATCAAAAAAAATTTAGTTCGCTTATTTTGTTAATCTTAAGACAGTCGAACTATAAAATAAACAACAGGTATTAAGAAAACGATTAAAATTCAAAAAGGAGAAAAAAATATTAATTAGTATAAATTAACAATATTTTAAAAACATTCCTTTTTATTGGAATATTTGTCTTATTATCTTTTTAATTACCAATGTTCACAACTTATTAATAATAAAAAAGCAGTCATTAATTGATTCAATTTAAGTGTTGGTTAATATTTTATTAAATAAAACATACGTTGAGTGCGTAAATGGGATTAAATAAAGTTAGCACAGATTTAATTTTATACGTAATAATAAGTTTATATTAAAATGTTATTACAAAAAACATTATTGTTTATGTGCAGGCCTGTACCTGGATTATTTTATTTAAATGGGACACCCTACTACAAACTTTATATGAATCGAAATTTTAAAAATAGCTTCAACATGGTATATTTTTTAAGTTTATAATAATTATAAACTTAAAAAATATACCATGTTGAAGCTATTTTTAAAAAAGCGATTCATATAAAGTTATTATTAAATTTTTCTGATTTTAAAAATTATACATAGTAGATATGGGTTGTTTTCAAAAAACACCCGCCTTCCGCTGTCCGTAAGTTTGAATTCCAATAACATTGTTAAAAATTATCGGATCTTATTAATTTAAAAACCAAGTGAAAGCCTAACAAGCCCTTATTAAACTCTTTTAGAAAATGTTATTTCAGAATATTTTTTTTAATTTTGAAACTTGTGAAACACATTTTGTGTTGCTTTATAGCAATCCATAACATCCTTAGTTAATACAGTAAATAATTTATATATAAATTAATTATTTCTAATATACTTTTTTTAAATTTGACTCATGTCCAGACATTTTTTCCGTTGCGTTACCGATAGAATATTAAAAAAAAACATATATATGGCAACTTTTTTGGCACTCACGTGATCAACAAATGATGTTCGGACGTACACATTACCCAGCTGAATTTATTTATTTAATCAGGAAGAAGATATTGGTTGAAACAGGTGCGGGTAACGCGAATGTAATAATTGTTTGTCCGCTAAGTTACTCAAAAAAATAATAAAAATAAGATTAAAAAAAATACTATTTTTTATGTTTATGTTTATTTTAGGGCACTAAAGCTCATTGAGAGTAATTAATGACTGTAATATCTTATTATTATTTTTTAAATATGGTTTCACAAAATTTTTTCCACTGCTTTAGCGAGTCCATTATGTTACCTTATGGTAACGCAATGGAATTTAGGGTAACGCAATAGAATTTTTCGACAACAAAGTGGATATTTACCGTCGCTTTTAATAAAAGTAGTTTATGATAAACCAATTTAAAATTATTTGTAATTACAACTCATGAGATAGATTACATCCAAGGGAAAATTCTACGCTATATACAAGTACTAAAAGGGACGCGAGACCTTCACCAGCTTATAGTCAAAGAAAAAGGGTGTCTAGTAGACACTGTCTACAATTTAGAAATCTAAGTTGTTATTGTGCAAGTGAGCACCACTACAAGGGATTTTGTTTATGCATTACTCTAAAATCGTACCACCCTATATAGTTTCTTTTTTACGTTATCTGATTAAGTCCTTTGTGTACCCCAGTCCGTTGTGATACCAATGTCTATTTCCTTTCTTTAGTTTTTGTTAAAAAAAAATACTTAAAATGATTTTTATACACTATCACTTGGTAATACGTGTTTATAAATTAGAGTTTAACTCACTAATACAGTGACTAAAAGAAAATATTAATGGTATTGTTTTTTTTTTAAAAAGAATCGGAAGGGTTTCTTTTAAAAAGTAACTTAACGAACATAAATATTAAAAAAAGCACACAATTTTTAATAATAAAAAAATGCAGTCAAAAGTTTGTGGACTAAGTACATTTTATTTGAAAATATTTACTTTTTTTATTGAATTAAATTTTGGATTTCAAATTGGTAACACAGTGGAGATATACATATTAAGATAGCTAAACACTTATTTCTGAAAAAACGTAAAAAAAATTAAAAAGTGCACTGCCTGTCTTAAATGTAAGTAAACAAAACTCTAAACATTTATAAAAATCCAAGCAAAAGTCAATTTAAGCAACAAAAAAATTTGATCTTCATTTTCCTGAAAGCGGGTGTTTCTTGAAAATGACCCATATACATTTTATAAAATTTGTTAGACAGTAAAGAAATATGAAATACCATTTTGGTTTTTTTGACAAAGAAAATCTTTTCAATTATTAAAACTTTAAATTGTATTTGATCACTAATTTAAATAAATAGGAATCTTACAGCACTTTTGTTTATATAACATAACTAATTATATTTATACAATGTATGTACAAGGTGTGTTCAGAAAATAACGGGAATTGTTAAATTTCGCGGGTTCAGAGGGTCCGTTTGTCATAAACTTTTCTTTAATATGTTGGTATACATGCCCCCGAACTATGATAAAAACTTTAGCTGTTTTCATTGTTTACTTTGTCTGTGGCAGCCGCTAAAGTTAGACGTGTTTTATGAGCTCGGCGATTTTTCGTTCGTTAAAATAAATGGATCAAAAAATATGTATCCAATTTTGATTAAAAAATAAAATAAATTCTGTGTGTGTTAACAAAGGCCTATAGTGAGTCTGCTATAAGTAAAACTAGAGATTACAAGTGGTATAAGAGTTTCCAAGATGGCCGTGAAGACGTTGAAGATGACGAACGCACAAGCACATTAACAACCGATAAAAACATGGAAATGGTTATAAACCATCAGAGAAGTCGCTTATGATGTTGGTATATCGATTGGGTCATCCCCTGAAATTTTTTCGAATGTTTTGGGTATGAAACGCGTGGCAGCAAAATTTGTTCTAAAATTGTTAAATTTTGAACAAAATTTTTGTTCAAAAGCAATACTGTATTGATGCCCCAGCCTCCATATTCGCCAGACATGCCTCTGTCTGACTTTTTCCTATTCCCAAAAATAAAGAGAACCTTAAAGGGCCGTCGTTTTGCAAGCATAGATGACATTAAAAGCGCATCGCTAAAAGAACTAAAGGCTATCTCAAAGATCGAGTTTTAGAAGTGTTTCGAGTATTGGAAGAAGAGCTGGCACATGTGCATAATATCCAATGGGGACTATTTTGAAGGCGACAACATTAATGTAGACGAATAAATAAATATTTTTTTCAAAAAACGAAAATTCTCGATATGTTCTGAACACACCTCGTATGTATGTATAATACAATTAAAAGCCCAACGGTTCATTCATGCCAAATTAACTGATTGTAATGTTAGGTTTACACCTATAAATTACGTTATTTTTCTACTTTTTCGGCATATTGCAACCGATTTAATTTTTATATTTTGAAATTTCTTAAATAAGGTCAATGACTTGGTCGGGTCAAGATTACATGCGTCGTTATATTTCGATTCAGTTTTATCAGAGAGTTATCTCTGGTTTTATCTAAATGATTTTGCGTATTTTTCCTGCGAAATATGAAATTTTATCACGCTATTTTTTTAGAATAAAAATACCGCCTTTATATTTTGTCTATGGGTCGCGACCTTTGCAAAATTAATTACTTTATTTCCTAAATTTATTTTTTCATTTTATCTCTATTTTTTCAATTAATTGGCTAATTTTTGGTATAAAAACCATCCGCGAATAAACTAAATAAATTCAGTTCACCAAACACTCTAGTAGTCAACAAGCAGCAGTGCCAAGTGCCAGGTATAGTGCAGATACCTTTTTCCTACCTTTAAAACTACCTTCTTTTCCCAAAGTGTCAAGTCCAATGTTCGTGGGTATAATTATAATAAAAAGAATACAAGTAAATCTAAAGTAAAATTTAAAATAAAACTAAAGTAAAATTAAAGATAAGAGAAATAAAAGTAAAAACTAATTATCAACAATGGTAAAGTCTAGCTAAGGCAAATAATATAACTTATCAACAAAATTAAATAACAATAACCAGTATAGTTTCCCCAAGGGAGAGCAATATCAGTTTAACACCAAGGTAAGAGCTTATACTCACAAATAATTATTTGTGAGTATAAGCTTAATTTTGTTGATAAGTTCTATTATTTGCCTTAGCTAGACTTTACCATTGTTGATAATTAGTTTTTACTTTTATTTCTCTTATCTTTAATTTTACTTTAGTTTTATTTTAAATTTTACTTTAGATTTACTTGTATTCTTTTTGCTTGTTAATTAAAAACCTAATTTTAATCATAAACACCTTTTTTATTTCACAAATACATAGCCTTTTAGCAGGGCCGGCCCGAGGTACGGGCGAACCGGGCAACCGGCCGGAGCGGCACAATGGGGGGGGCGGCATTTTTACGATGTGTTAATGATAATAAATTTCAATGAAGATAATACAAAAATTTCGATTGGCGATTTTTTCTAGTATTAAGCTCGAGAAATATCTTTGTTACAAATGATTTAATAGAGGCGCTCTCGGAAGACGACGCTGGCGCCCTCTTTTATTTGTTTCTTCAATCATATCCTGTAGTTTTCTTTACTGTTTGACAATTGACAATTAATTGAAAAATATCTCACGATCGTGCATTGTAAAATCAGTGAATTACTAAGGTAGTTTGATAATTATCTAATTATAATTAGAAGTTTAAAATGTCTGAAAAACGCAAAAAAGATTCAGGAGCTTTTTATAGACACCAAAAAAGGGCGCGTGAGGCGGAAAATCGAGTTCTAGCAGCAACATTTTCCAAATTCTTGCAAAAAAACCATCGTGTGAAGGTATAATAAATATACTATAATTTAATAATATTGCCTACCGTAAACACGGGTGGCTTTGAACCCCGCGAGTGACTAACCTTTTTTAAAAAATATTTTCGCGTTCGATAAAATTAACATTAATAATTTGTTGGTCAAAACCTGTCAAATAAGCGATTCTTTTTAGTTTATATTACAGAAAAATCAGTGTTTTAAAGAAATGGGATTTATTACAAATTTATCGCACATTTCGTTATTTAAATAATATTTAAATTTCTATATTAAAATCATAGTTTAATTTTCTTTTTTGCGACGTATATTGCCTTACCTATTGGTGATTCTAAAGCATAAAAAACTAAAAAATAATTACGTTAAACTACTTTTGCCACTATTTCTGCCGAATAACAAGGGGGCGGCAAAAATATCTTCGCCCGGGGCGGCAAAAAACGTCGGGCCGGCCCTGCCTTTTAGAGTAACCAATCAGATCGCTCGTCCGCGCACCTAAAAGTAATCTAAAAAAATGACTAGCATAAATCCTATTACATGTGAATGACATTTGTCTTAAGATTTGCTACCTAATTTTATCTGTTTTATTGTTTTGGCAAATTTTAAATAAATTTGCCTTTTGGCTTTTGGTTTTAAGCTATTTTAAATATAAGATAACAATAAAATAAAATCTTACATACATACATTGCATAAATACATAATGTATAGTACAGAGTGTCCCAAATTGGTTGTCCGTATATGGCTACAAGAGCTAAAAAAAATCTGTCTACACTAATGAATTCTATGATAAAAAGTGCCTACATAATTAATATTTGAAACCTTTATTCGTAACTCAAATATTAACGAAGCTACAACACGGTGCTGTTCTGAGAGGTGATTTTTGGACTTTCAGTGAAACCTAATTTTTTTTTTATATTCTTGTTAATTAGGCCATAACTAAAATTTTAAGAGCAAAATAAAAAAAATTTGACGGTATGAATGGTTTTAATTGGCTGTTTATTAAAAATATTATGCACTCTTTTAATTATCCAATTAAAACTAGCGATTTAATTTAAATATTTAATATTTGCATAACTAAAAAAAAAGGTTTTTACAATTTTTTTTATATATTTTACTGTTTTGTTGCAATAAACGTTCAAACTTTTAATCTAACCTTTGACGTATACATTTATGTTCCCTTAATTAATATATCCTTAAAGGTTGCCATGAAACTTAGATCTATTAAAAATTTATTTGACGTTTGAATTGTCATTTTCAGTATACGTATTCTATAATTTTTGTTTAGTTTTTTAAAGTGTTTTTTATAAACAAAAATGAAAAATTGTAGTAAAAGCTACGAAGAAATTCATAAAATTTAACTAAGGACCGGTTTATTCATCTTTAGTAAAGTTTATCGGGCCGATAACTTTCATGTCTTGGCAATATCTAGTATCCAAAGAAATTATTCGTCAAATAAATCAAAAATTAATAAATCGGCCGTAAATAAAATGTGGCACCCTTAAAATTATTGTTTAATAAATGTATACTATACATTTAACCTTAAATTAAAACTTTAAACGTATATTACAACAAAACAGTAAAAGATATAAAAAATGTATAGACCTTTTTTTAGGAAATTAACTAATCTATAATCTGATTTAAAAAATTATGATAATATTTAAATAAAATCGCAAGTTTTAATTGGAGAATTGAAAGTGTGCATACATCCAATTAAAACAAAATTAACCGTCAATTTTTTTTTATTTTGCTCTTAAAATGTTAGTTATGACCTAATTAACAAGAATATAAAAAAAAAATTAGGTTTCACAGAAAGTCCAAAAATCACCTCTCAGAACAGCACCGTGACAAGCATTTGTCAAAATTGGCAAAAATTGAAAAAAAGGTATATCTCCTAAACAAATGCGAATCGAGAACATTCAAAGACATCAACCGATGTATCTTTAAAAAAGACGACGGGGATGCGTGGTCGAATTTTTTCTAGCATTTATATTTACTGAGATAGCCTATACGGACAACCAATTTGGGACACCCTGTAAATAATGTATTTATACGATGTATGTATGTAAGAATTTATTTTATTGTTATCTTATATTTAAAATAGCTCAAAACCAAAAGCCAAAATGCAAATTTACTTAAAATTTAGCAAATCTTAAGACAAATGTCATTCACATGTAATAGGATTTATGCTAGTCATTTTTTTTGGTTTACAATCAGTTAATTTGGCATGAATGAACCGTTAGTCTTTTATTTTTGGACTTAAGTAACAAAGTCAAAATGGATCGCGAAATCAAGGAAAAAAGAAAAAGGAATCATAGAGACAGGGCTAATTTTTTATCCAAGTACACATTCGCGTAAGTAAAACATACAATTAATGAAAATATTCAAAATAGAGAGTAAACACCTTTTAAAGATAATTTGCCATTTTCTTCTTTAGATTTACTTTAGGCCTTTTCAAGAAAGCCTTAAAAAAAGATTTAGATGACGTAAATTTATACGAGGTAGCAGAAAGTTGCGAAGCAAATAAATTAGGTGACAGACTCGAAGAAGAATGGATTAAACAGCGCAAACACAACAAAAACGCATCTATTTATAATCTGCTATGGGCAAGGTTTGGTGTACAATACCTTTTGTTGGGACTGCCCTATTTTGCTTTCACAATGTTTCACAGGTAAATGTTAAATTACCGCATTTTTTGGTTTAAAATTAAATTATGCCGTGTATTTGAATAAACTCACTACCTACTGTTTATTTTTAGTATTATGGAACCTGAAGCCATGTCGGCATTCATTTCATACTTCTCCAGCTCAACTGAAAACCAAACGACAAAATCCGAAGCAGTTAAGAACGCAATGATTCTAATTGGTTTTCAAATTTTTTATGTTTTCTTCTTTTCAAACTACAATTTGATTCTACAAACCTTCGCCATCCAGATAAAAACGTCTTTTTGTTCGTTGATATACCGGAAAGCACTTAAATTGAGTCCGGCAAGTTATTTAGATATTAGTCTGGGAAATATTGTTACTTTGGTTACTAAAGATGTACAGACGTTTGAGTCCTCAATTTGGCTCCCGAATGAGATGTGTGTTGCTTTTATACAAACTATCATGGTGTGCTTTCTAATCTATCTTAAAATGGGGGTGACTTCATTAATAGGACTGGGGGTGTTTTTTGTTGGATTGCCTCTACAAAGTAAGAAATTGTTCATATAAAAGCTAGTATAATCGCCGAATTCGAGTTTGATTTTATAATTGCTCTATTAGAATTTCCTCAAAACCTGACGTGAGAAATTTTAAGGTCAGATTCGCATTCAGAGTACCAAAAACCTGCTGAAAGCTTAAGTCTAATTTTAACAATAAAATGTTGGTTTAATGTTTTAATTTCTGTATTTTAGTTTATTGTGGTAAAGTTGTGGGTAGAATGAGGCTAAAGGTAAACAAAAATACCGATACAAGATTACAAACAACCCAAGAAGTTCTTTCCGCTATAAAAACTATAAAATTGTATGTTTGGGAGAAGTTTTTTGAAGCCAAGATTTCAAAAGCAAGAAAGTAAGTTTTTGCAGGCCCGTATGCAGAACTTATTTAAGGAGGGCAAAGGGGCATGTTGCCGCCTCTATAGAGGCAATATATTTTTTCAAAGAATAATGAAAGGAAAATGAGTAAATGTAGTTATATAAATTATTTATTTGCTTACTTAAAACTTGCAGTGGGGAGAGTATGATATAATATATGCGCAACGCAATACACATTAGGGTGCTTCAAAAAAAATATTATTTTTTTTTCGCTCTTACCCTCTCAAATGTTTCTATTTAATTTTATTGATATTTATGATGATACATTTTCTGATGACGAAAAGTCGAAAGTTCAATTTGAGGATGCTGTCCGAATTTTCTCAGGATTCTAAATATGTAAAAATATATAGGGCGTTCCATTTAAAAATGGAAAGTTGATATCATTTCCGGCGAAACCGGAAGTTCAAAAAATTCATTTTGTACTCTTATAAGTGGCATTTTATATCCTAATTAACCATGCTAAATTTCATGTGTCTATCTTTATAAATAAAAGAGTTACAGGGGTTATTAGATTAATAACACCCTTTAACACGGTTTAACCCTACCTAAATGACATTTTAATGAAAAGAAAATATTCATAACTCGCTAATTAATATCCATGTAACAATGTGGAAGAAATATTTTTGAAGGGAATTTTACGCTTTACAAAAAAGGTCTTTTGCGATTTTTTTGTAAAACCATCCACCATGAATTTTTTCTTATGTCATTAAAATATAATATAAGAATGGCTAAACGAAATCAAATTAATTGTTTTAGACTGTAAAAAAAAATTTAGAAATAGGCTGATAGTTTCGAAGATATTAATTATTAAAGGGCCATTCCACGCTTAACGGATAGGACAGTTGCCGTGTTTTTATTTACAAAATAATATTGTTCTATTATATTACCAATGTCAAATTTTTATAAATAGTTCTAAACAAATGCTGTTTAACAAGGTTTTTATTTGGCAAAATTAGGTATCGTGATTGACTGTTTAATTCCTTAAAAATTAATAATTTAAAGCGTAACGGGCGGGACTATTACAAAGTCCCGTCCGTTACGCTTTAAATTATTAGTTTTTAAGGAATTAAACAGTCAACCACGATACCTAATTTTGCCAAATAAAAACCTTGTTAAACAGCTTTAGTTTAGAACTATTTATAAAAATTTGACATTGGTAATATAATAGAACAATATTATTTTGTAAATAAAAACACGGCAACTGTCCTATCCGTTACGCGTGGAATGGCCTTAAAGTGGAAAATGTATAGTTTTTAAAAATGTTTTTATAGTTTTTATTATAGGACTTTTTAATTGGGTTTTGATACAATTATAAAGTGTTCATACAAAAATCTTCATAAACTTTCTTAGTTTTGAATCTCTAAAAAAAAATTGCCTATACGTCAGAGATTTCACAAAAATGGCTGAAAATATGAAAATTGTGCATCAAAATGTGGGTAATTAAAAAACAAAATCGACCTGTTCAAGGATTTTTCAATAAATTGTTGCATACTTTTCCCGGTCACCATTTAATGTATATGATTTTTAGGAAAGAAGTAACCAATATTCTCAAAATCTTTTACTTAAGAAACTTTATAATAATGACGGGTGTAATAACTTCAAGATTAGGTTTTTATACCTTAATCATGGTATATATTTATATGGGTAACATAGCCAGCCCTGAGTTGATTTTCTACGTTTTTAGGCAATTCCTTACAATAAGCCATTCAGTCGGTAAGAAACTAAAAAAAAACTATGCAAACAATATTCACAATTTATTTTTTGTAGGTGTTGATATACCTGCAGGTCTGACTCAATATGCTGAGTTTAGAGCAGCTCTATTGAGGATAAACAGAATTTTAGTAGCGGAAGAATTAAAAGAAACTACTGATCAGGATGAAATTGGCAACATTGAAAACCCCAAAATCGATCTCAGACACGTTTCCGTCCATATTAAAGATTGCGAAGCAATAAAAAATGTAACACTCACCATTGAACCAGGTTTAACTGTCATCACAGGCAGTTTGGGGTGTGGAAAAAGTTCACTGCTTAAAACCATATTACAAGTAAAAAGTTTAACTTTTAAAAGCATATTTATAATTATAACAAAATGATTTTTAAGGATTACCCAAAAACTAAAGGAGATGTCACCGTAAACGGAAGAATTTCTTATGCTCCCCAAGATCCTTGGTTATTTCCTGCTACCATTAAACAAAATATTCTATTTGGACAAGATTATGATATGGAAAGATACAATGAAGTTGTCAAGGTAAGTCACAAGTCTAAATTTTAAACTAAAAAACACAGTTTAGACGTCTACCATGCAAAGTAAAAGAAACGCTCGATTAAAACTGAGAAAATCGTAAAAAACACTTCATCCTACTTAAAAAAAATCCTTGTCACTTATCAAAAATTGATATTCAAAATATCAAGCATAATAAAATGCAGAATTTTTTCTCAATTCTATGGTATCAAAAACTCTTTTACTTTGAACCGCAGATTCATATTAAGACGATTCAATAATAAGAAATAGATCAACAATTTTTGGTCTCTTATAATTCAAGTTTTATAAAATATTTTTAAGGTGTGTGCTCTAGAGTTAGACTTTGCTCTATTAGAACAAAGAGATGAAACAATTGTAGCAGACAGAGGCTTAAATTTAAGTAAAGGTCAGCAAGCCAGAATAAATTTAGCTAGGGCCGTCTATAAAGACAGTGAAATTTATCTTCTTGACGACAGCCTAACAGCATTGGATCCCCATGTACAAAAGTACATATTTAGGCAATGTATTCAAGGTTACTTGAAGAAAAAGGAATGCATTTGTGTGTTGGTGACGCACAATCCCAAACATATAGAAGCATCGAATAAATTGATTGTTCTTCAAAATGGATCTATTAAATTATGCGGAGAAAGCAAGGATGTAATAAAAGAAGAAATACTCAAAACCATAGAGAAATCCTTTGAAACTCCTCAAGCAGTAGAACCACTGATTGAGAAACCTATAACTGAAAAAACCAAGTTGTTAGAAGTTAATGGACCCTTTAAGAAAAATGTTTTCTACGAGAAAAAAAAGCAGGGCGGAATCAATTTGCAAGTTTACAACAAATACACACAATTTGGTGGTGGTATGTTGATATTTATTGGTATTTTGTGTATCTTTACTGGATCCCAATTTATTGAGAGTTATGCCTCCAAAATGCTTAGTAAATGGTAGGTTTAGTCTACATAAACTTTTCACAAATAATATTTTAAGTAACCTCCTTAGAAATCTTCTTAGACGGTTTTAAAAATGTCTCAAATGTCCAAATACTATCTTGGAGCTATCTAAAATGTTTTAACCAAAATTTTTAATTTGGATGGCAGATTTATTAGATTTTTGTTGTAGGGTTGATTTGCAACAGAACATGATCACATTTAGGATAACCAATACCACAAATAGCACAGCTTACCTAAAAACTAAAGAGATAAATGATTGGACTCTAAACGTTTATTCCATAAGCATAATTTCATCAACAGGGTTGCAAATTACGAAGTTTTTCATCTTTCTACTTTTTGCCACCAGGGCATCGTTCAGAATACACAAAAAAATGATATCCAGCATTGTTGGATCCACAATGTCTTTCTTTGACTCCTATTTCATCGGAAACATATTGAACAGATTCTCGCAGGATATGAATGTAGTCGATGAAGATATGCCATATGTTTTCGCACATTTCATAAGGGTAAGAAACTAAATTTACAAGTCAAACATATATAATATTATTACTTTTTATGTTTTAGATTTTGTTTAAAATCGCCGGTCATGTCTATATAATAACTTCAGTAAGCTTGAAGTTTGCTATTATGGAAACAGTTTTATTTGTCATAATGGTTACTTTAAGATTTATTTATATTCCAGCAGGAAGAAGTCTAAGAAGATTAGAAGCCGCAAGTATGTTACTCGTGTAAAAGTTTTGTTGAGGCACTATTTTTTTGTCTATTTTAAGGCCGCAGTCCAATGATTGGTCACTTAAATTCATCTCTGGAGGGTATAACGACCATTAGAGCTTACAAAGCCCAACATATACTGAAAGTTGAATTCGATAGGCATCAAGATATGTACACATCTGCACACTATGTATCATTTTGCATGAAAAAAGGTTTCGCCTTTGCTACGGAGGCGTTTGCAAAAATGTTCTACATCTTTGTCATTGCAAAATTTTTGTATTTTGATAACGGTAACATATCCAACTATTTAACAAAAAATTATGTCTTAAAAAATACAATATTTTAGATACATCCGCTGGAAACGTCGGCCTTGGAATTACAGAGTGTATGACTCTATCATTTTCAGTGCAAATTGCTTTGGCATATTGGTCTGAGCTGGAAAATATGATGACCTCAGTCGAAAGACTTCTAGAGTATACAGACCTACCCAAAGAATATAAAGTTGGACAAATCATTGCAAATTGGCCTACTGATGCTTCCATTAGTTTCGAAAAAGTATCACTTACCTACCCCAATGCCAATAAGGCGGTGTTAAGAAATATCAACTTTAGTTTAGCGCCTAGATCTAAAGTTGGTATTGTTGGTAATACGTTTAAAATTAATAATGTTAACATTCTTATATTCTTAAATTCTTTAGGTCGTACTGGTGCTGGTAAATCCACCATAATCGCTACCTTATTCAGACTTTACAACTTCGAAGGCAAAATTATTATTGATGGTGTCGATACCAAGACTTTATCACTCGACTTCCTTAGAGATCATATATCTATCATTTCTCAGGATCCCGTACTGTTTTCCGGAACTATTAGAGAAAATATGGATCCAAAAAATAGATACAGCGATGAGGAAATTTGGAAAGCTTTGGAAAGTGTTTATATGAGGGATGCCATAACTGATTTGGCATTGAGGGTTAACGAAAATGATTCCAGTTTTAGTACAGGTAAAATATTTTTTTGCGTAATCACGGTTTTTAGGTGCTAATTGTTATAGTTTGGGGTATCCAGTGCGATTTTAATTTTTAACGTATATTTTGCTCGAATTTGTCCCATTTTTAAATATTAAAATATTCGTGAAATAGTCTTGCGGAATACCTAAATAGGTAGTTGTTTTATCGGTGCAACACTGAAATAAAACACTCGTTTTCTGAAATCTGATTGTTCCATAAAGTAATAAATTATTTAATTTATGTTTTATTTCATTATTTTGCCTTATTTTGCCTAAAACAAAGTTGTAATAAAAATAAATATACTAATTTCTTTTTTTATTAATCTTAAATCTGCGAGATCTTGCGAGATTACACCTCTTAAATCTTGCTATACCAAGATTGTATATTTTTCTCCAAGATTGCATTCCCTAGTCAATCCTCTTCATATCACTATTTCTTCAATTAGTCAAAACAATTTTTATATATTGTAGGTCAAAGACAGTTAATCTGCATTGCACGAGCCATACTAAGGAAAAACAAAATCGTGGTTTTGGATGAAGCCACTGCCAATATGGACCCAGAAACGGAAAACTTGATACAAAATACGATAGAGCAGAATTTCAACTACTGCGCCGTTTTCATCATCGCTCACAGACTGCAGTCTGTGATGAATTGTGATAGAGTCATTGTATTGGATAGAGGGGAGATAATCGAATTCGACGACCCCACCATTCTGCTTAAAAAGAAAGAGGGTCAATTTTACAACATGGTCAAGGAAATCGGCTTGCTGGATTCTTTGGAATAACTACGTCACAATGCACGGTGCTGTTCTGAGAGGTGATTTTTGGACTTTCTGTGAAACCTATTTTTTTTTATATTCTTGTTAATTAGGTCATAACTAAAATTTTAAGAGCAAAATAAAAAAAATTTGACGGTTTGAATTGTTTTAATTGGCTGTTTATTAAAAATATTATGCAATCTTTCAATTATCCAATTAAAACTAGCGATATAATTTAAATATTTAATATTTGCATAACTAAAAAAAAGGTTTTTACAATTTTTTTTATATATTTTACTGTTTTGTTGCAATAAACTTTCAAACTTTTAATCTAACCTTTGACGTATACATTTATGTTCCCTTAATTAATATATCCTTAAAGGTTGCCATGAAACTTAGATCTATTAAAAATTTATTTGACGTTTGAATTGTCATTTTCAGTATACGTATTCTATAATTTTTGTTTAGTTTTTTAAAGTGTTTTTTATAAACAAAAATGAAAAATTGTTGTAAAAGTTACGAAGAAATTCATGAAATTTAACTAAGGACCGGTTTATTCATCTTTAGTAAAGTTTATCGGGCCGATAACTTTCATGTCTTGGCAATACTAGTATCCAAAGAAATTATTCGTCAAATAAATCAAAAATGAATAAATCGGCCCTAAATAAAATGTGGCACCCTTAGAATTATTGTTTAATAAATGTATACTATACATTTAACCTTAAATTAAAACTTTAAACGTGTATTAGAACAAAACAGTAAAAGATATAAAAAATGTATAGACCTTTTTTTAGGAAATTAACTAATCTTTAATCTGATTTAAAAAGTTATGATAATATTTAAATAAAATCGCAAGTTTTAATTGGAGAATTAAAAGTGTGCATACATATTTTTAATAAACATCCAATTAAAACAAAATTAACCGTCAATTTTTTTTATTTTGCTCTTAAAATTTTAGTTATGACCTAATTAACAAGAATATAAAAAAAAATTAGGTTTCACAGAAAGTCCAAAAATCATCTCTCAGAACAGCACCGTGAATGAGATTTGTTAAGCAATTTATTGAGTTGTTTTTAACAGAAAAGACAATTTACATTGACAAGTTGAAAGAAAAAGTATAGTATGCACCTCGTTTATAAACTTTTCTATTCACTCATTAATTTAAATTTAATTAAATTAAATTCGTGTATAAAATGGCGTTTATCAAACTTGATACATAATATACTATTTTCTACTCCCACCATTAAACGCCCATGTTTTCATGACGCATTGACAAGTGTGGCTTTATAGCCATTTAGTCACGGACTGAAGTTTTAAGTTAGTTGACAGTTGTCAAATGTCATACAATCGTTAAAATAAAGTGCCTTTTTTGTAAAATAATACTAAAGGTATTCTCAATACAAAAGTATTAAATAGTTTCTTGCAACAATGTTTAAAAAGATTATATGAACGTTTGTACTGACCTTTCTATTTCGCTGTAGTAGTGCAGTTAACTAGATTTAACTTATAGAGCATTAAAAATTTTGCGTAGTGCCCATAAAACATTCTCTTTTCTTTTACTATTAAAAACTGCTTATATATATCGATTATATATATCGATTGTTGGTCTATTTTCAATAAATAAATTTTGATTTACAAAGACAAATTTGAGATTTCAACGCCGGTAGATTTCCAAGTTAGAAATTCTAATAAGAATTCCAATAAATACAACTGTTACTTTTTGTACCTTTAACATTTCCCTGTAAGAATTCTTAATGTTTAATACTTCTTGATAAAATTTTGCAATAATAGTAGGAATAAAAAAAATCAAAGGATAAAATTTTTCTTAACATAATGAGAAGTATCAATAATTTTTCAGTTATAACAACTAAACAAGTTTTAACTTTCAAAGAAATAGGTTATGTTAAGAATAGCTAGATTTTTCTCTTGTAAAATCTATCCTACATCTCATACATACATTTTCTTTGGAGACATAAAAAATTTTCAGTTCAGTTTTACACTTAATTCCTCACAGAAATACAATTAGCCAAAAGCCCCATTATTTAATTTCAAACTTAAAGCATTAGCATCAATGCTTAATATTGCCTTTAAGAACCCAAGCAATTTTTACATTAACTTTATTGAAATTACAACTTTAAATTATATAAATACTTTATTTAAAAACGTCTAAGGAGGGCAAAACTTTCTTGAGTGTATTCATATTGTACTTAAAAAGATAAAAGAAAAAGTTTATTGTATTTATGTATGTAGGCCAGTGTATTATATTTTTATAATGTGCCTTAATTTTTTCTGTATATACAACGTTAATAAATATTACGTTAATATTTGGTTTTTTTATTTTAATTCAAAATATCATAACATTACATTAGTTTATGTACAAAGATGGACATAGTTTTATCACAATAAAATATTTTGCAGTTAATAATTTAGGCCACCCTTTATATATACAAAGTGTCCAGAAAGGCTTATGTTAAAAGAAAACCTTTAAATAAAATATATTGATGCTTTGCGCCACCTTTTAACAAATAGCAAAAGTTGAAATCGCAGAAAACCTTATTTATATTTAAAGAATATATTTTAATTAATTTAAAACAGCATCATGGTGTTTTTAATTTATTATTTATTAGAGTCTCTAGTGAGCATAGGCCCTTAGGATTGTGTAATAATATTAATATATTATAATTTATAATATATATTCAAGACCACCAAAACTAAAAAAACATTGATATGAGATAATCAAGTTAAAAGTTTTGCAAAGGTTAAAGGAATGTTTTGAAGAAAGTAAGGACGACAATATCGCCCTTTTGAAACCTTGCATGGCAAATCAAATGGCTTTTAATCAGTATTTTTTGTAAACGTCTATAATATTTAGAAAGATTTTATTTCATTATTTAAAGAAAATATGTTGGTATTGTTTGACTTATATTTTCTAATTATGTTGCATTAATAAGCTTTATGGAATTTTGACTTCTTTGTGACAATAAATAAAACAGATTTTTGTCAATATAATTTATTTTAATTAAACAAAAAATAATATAATATTTATTAAATTAAGAACTAACGAAACTAAGAAAACTTCTCAAGACTGCGTAGGTACCTTTTTTTTCTTTTGGTTTGAACTTTTTTTTGGTTGAGACGACTCCAGTGACTTATAAAAATAATGATATGATTCTTCTACGGGCATAGTTTTGCAACGAAATAAGAGTCCCTCTTTCTTTTTATAAGTTATTACATAGAATTGCAAACAACATTAAGATAAATTAGATTAATTTAGGCACCATATATTTTTATATGGTGAGTACGCACTTACACAACAGATATTTCAGTGCAATGTATGTGTAATAATGTTCTTAAAAATAGGACTCAAGCTATCATAGCTATGATGGTTTATTAAATCCATTCTAAGGTTGTTTACCACCATAACTTAAACCTGTTGATTTTTGAGTTATGGTGTTCTTGAACTGGATGTGCGATTTATAACCGCATTAAATAATTTTTCCTTAGATAAAACATATTTGATGTTTTATTCATTAATGTAATTCTTTAATTAAATAATAATTATATTATTGTTCTCTGTTTATATTTTTATTTTTAAGAACTTAATTTAAATTAGTTCTACGAGGTGTGTTCAGAAAATAACGGGAATTGTTAAATTTCGCGAGTTCAGAGGGTCCGGTTGTCATAAAACTCTTTATTATGTTGGTATACATGCCCCCGAAGTATGATAAAAACTTTAGCTGTTTTCATTGTTTACTTTGTCTGTGGCAGCCGCTAAGGTTAGACGTGTTTTATGAGCTCGGCGATTTTTCGTTCGTTAAAAGAAATGGATCAAAGAATTTGTATCACATTTTGCTTAAAAAAATGAAATAAATTTTGTGAAATGTTAACAAAGGCCTATAGTGAGTCTGCTATAAGTAAAACAAGAGTTTACAAGTGGTATAAGAGTTTCCAAGAAGGCCGTGAAGACGTTGAAGATGACGAACGCCCCGAACGCACAAGCACATTAACAACCGATAAAAATATGAAAAAAGTGGAAGAAATGGTTATAAACCATCAGAGAAGTCGCTGATGATGTTGGTATATCGATTGGCTCATCCCATGAAATTTTTTCGAATGTTTTGGGTATGAAATGCGTGGCAGCAAAATTTGTTCTAAAATTGTTAAATTTTGAACAAAATTTTTGGCCAAAAACAATACTTTAATGATGCCCCAGCCTCCATATTCGCCAGACATGCCTCTGTCTGACTTTTTCCTATTCCCAAAAATAAAGAGAACCTTAAAAGGCCATCGTTTTGCAAGCATAGATGCCATAAAAGCGCATCGCTGAAAAAACTAAAGGCTATCCCAAAGATCGAGTTTTAGAAGTGTTTCGAGTATTGGAAGAAGAGCTGGCACATGTGCATAATATCCAATGGGGACTATTTTGAAGGCGACAACATTAATGTAGACGAATAAATAAATATTTCTTTCAAAAAACGAAAATTCCCGATATTTTCTGAACACACCTCGTATTTAATTATGATTAAATTAAATATGAGAAGTATACTTAAGGTACTATAAATCAAGATTTTATTATAACACGTCATACAGGGTTTTACATAAAGGGAAAATTAAATGGTTGATTTCTTAGAAAAAAATAATAAGTTATGCTTAACATGGTTTCGTTTTTAAGTTAAAGGGGGTTACACTTTTTTTATTATAAAATATAAGGAATCGAAATCTTAACAATTAAATCGCTTAATATTAAAAGTACATTTTTTAATATTTTAAGTTACATACCAATTTCTGGCCAAGACGGATCGATCGTTTTTTCTCAATAAAGACGTTTGTTATTATTATTATTAATATTATTATTATTATAAAAAAACAAATTTGTGGTAAAGGCTTTATCGTCAACTTTATTCCAAAAATTTGGTTCTATGGGTATTGTTCTAGTTTTTGTTTTTTCCAGTCTAATATAGCGAAAATCGTAAATTTTTAATATTTTGACTTTATTTAAGTTTAAATTTTAGCCACAGGTCTAACAATTAAATGCTGTTTAATTTTTTGAATAAGCCGAAATCAAGAAACCCATACTTTTGTATGTGTCTTGCGGAAGCTTTAGATTCGATTGGCTTGTAAAAAAAAAAAATTGTCACTAAATAGGTATCTAATACCTAATAGATAATAGTTACTTAAGTTACTTAAGACAGTCGAACTTCAAAATAAAAAACAGGTATCAAGAAAACGATTAAAATTTAAAAAGGAAACAATAATAATTAACAATAAATTACCTAACTATATTCTCAAAACATTCTTTTTTATTAGGGTATTTATCTTCCTATCTTTTTATTTACCCCAACTTCACAACTTAAAGTTTACGCCTTATTAATAATAGTCAATAAAGCAGTCATTAATTGATTAAATTTAAGTGTTGGCTTAATATTTTATTAAATAAAACATACGTTGAGTGCGTAAATGGGATTAAATAAAGTTAGCTTAGATTTAATTTTATATGTAATAATAAGTTTATATTAAAATGTTATTACAAAAAAATATTATTGTTTATGTACCTGTACCTGGGTTATTTTATTTAAATGGGACACCCTATTACAAACTTTATATGAATCGAATTTTTTTAAAATAGCTTCAACATATTTTTTACGTTTATAATTCTTATTTTAAAAATATACATAATATACATTTTATAAAAAGTGATGGACAGTAAAGAAATATGAAATACCATTTTATTTTTTTGACAAAGAAAATCTTTTTAATTATTAAAACTTTAAATTGTATTTTATCACTAAATTAAATAAATAGGAATTTTACAGTAATTTTGTTTATATAACATAACTAATTATATTTATACAATGTATGTATGTATGATTTTATTTTATTGTTATCTTATATTTAAAATAGCTTAAAACCAAAAGCCAAAATGCAAATTTACTTAAAATTTACGAAAACAATAAAACAGATAAAATTAGGTAGCAAATCTTAAGAATATCATTCACTTGTAATAGGATTTAATAAAGTTAATTTGGCATGAAGGAACCGTTAGTCTTTTAATTTTGCACTTAAGTAACAAAGTCAAAATGGATCGCGAAATCAAGGAAAAAAGAAAAAGGAACCATAGAGACAGGGCTAATTTTTTATCCAAGTACACATTCGCGTAAGTAAAACATACAATTAATGGAAATGTTCAAACTAGAGAGTAAACACCTTTTAAAGATAATTTGCCATTTTCTTCTTTAGATTTACTTTAGGCCTTTTCAAGAAAGCCTTAAAAAAAGATTTGGATGACGTAAATTTATACGAGGTAGCAGAAAGTTGCGAAGCAAATAAATTAGGTGACAGACTCGAAGAAGAATGGATTAAACAGCACAAACACAACAAATACGCATCTATTTATAATCTGCTATGGGCAAGGTTTGGTGTACAATACCTTTTGTTGGGACTGCCCTATTTTGCTTGGGAAATGTTTCACAGGTAAATGTTAAATTACCGCATTTTTTGGTTTAAAATTTAATTATGCCGTGTATTTGAATAAACTCACTACCTACTGTTTATTTTTAGTATTATGGAACCTGAAGCCTTGTCGGCATTCATTTCGTACTTCTCCAGTTCAACTGAAAACCAAACGACAAAATCCGAAGCATTTAAGAACGCAATGATTCTAATTGGTTTTCAAATTTTTCATGTTTTCTTCTTTTCAAACTACCATTTGTTTCTACAAACCTTGGCCATCCAGATAAAAACGTCTGTTTGTTCATTGATATACCGGAAAGCTCTTAAATTGAGTCCGGCAGCTTATTTAGATATTAGTCTGGGAAATATTGTTACTTTGGTTACTAAAGATGCAAAGACGTTTGAGTCCTCAATTTGGCTCCTGAATGAGTTGTGGATTGCTATTATACAAACTATCATGGTGTGCTTTCTAATCTATCTTAAAATGGGGGTGACTTCATTAATAGGACTGGGAGTGTTTTTTATTGGATTGCCTTTACAAAGTAAGAAATTGTTCATATAAAAGCTAGTATAATCGCCGAATACGAGTTTGATATTATAATTGCTCCATTAGAATTTCCTAAAAACCTGACGTGAGAAATTTTAAGGTCAGATTCGCATTCAGCGTACCAAAAACCTTCTGAAAACTTAACTCTAATTTCAACAATAAAATGTTGGTTTAATGTTTTAATCTTTGTATTTTAGTTTATTGTGGTAAAGTTGTGGGTAGAATGAGGCTAAATTTGAATAAAAAAACCGATACAAGATTACAAACAACCCAAGAAGTTCTCTCCGCTATAAAAACTATAAAATTGTATGTTTGGGAGAAGTTTTTTGAAGACAAGATTTCAAAAGCAAGAAAGTAAGTTTTTGCAGGTCTGTATGCAGAACTTATACAAGGAGGGCAAAGGGGCATGTTGCCGCCCCTATTTTTTCAAAGAATAATGAGAGGAAAATGAAAAATTGTAGTTATATAAATTATTTATTTGCTTACCTAAAACTTGCAGTGGGGAGAGTATGATATAATAAACAGGGTGAGTCACTTAACTTTGAAATATCTCAGTTTTACGAAAAAAAAATTAAAATAAAAATTAAATGATTTGAGGGGGGAAATCAATCAGTTCTAAAATTGGTCTTCATACTCTCCTCCTTATAGGGGGAACAGGGGGTAACTTTAAAATTTCCAATGGATTACCCCAATTTTTATTGCAGATTCGGATCATTCGACTAAAAATAGGTAGTTTAGTCTAAAAAAATGTTTCATATTTATAATAGATGGCGCTGTAATGAAAAAAATCAATTTTGTTCGATTTTTCTTCTGTATACGATTCTCCAATAATTTTTAAATAAAATACTTGGTTTTATTTTTTACGTAAATTACGTTACATTACTAAACGCTACCAAAATGCTTGTTTCGACTTGTCGTACCACTCCCTTAAATTTGTACCATTAGTTCAATTAATATTATTATTATATAGTTAATAACACCCTGTATAAAGGGAGCAGATCCGGGCCTGAGTTTTTATAATATTAATATTAAAATTTTCTTTCAAAAAACAACGCAAACCACTTCGCCCAAAGTTCTTAACCATTGAATTAATTAAATAGCTTTACCAAAAAATGACAAAAGGTCAACAATAAAAATGTAGCATATTTGGTTTAATAAAAAAATAGGGTAATTGTTTTAATAATATGTAAAAATCGACAAGAAACCTAATATTTTTGTGTCCGTTTAACCCTACTCTCTAAAAATGAATTAGTCAAAAATGACTGATTTTTCACTTGTAGCATGGTTAAGCATGGAATACCATGGTATCCCAAAATTTAACAGCCAGTTCTTATGTAAAATTCTCCCCTGAATCCGAAAATAGCGTCAAAAATTATGAAAGTGGAGCAGTTTTTGAGATATAGTCAATTCCATATTAAATGGAAAATTGACTACATTTCAAAAAATGTTTTACTTTTTTAACTTTTGACGACATCTTCGGATTCAGGGGACAATTTTACATAAGAAATGGCTGTTAAATTTTGGGTAACCCCATGGTACCATGGTTAACCATGCTACAGGTGAAAAAGCACCATCCACCATGATTTTTATCTTGTCATTAAAATGTAATATAAACGACATCAAATTAAGTTTTTTTTTAATTGTTTTAGACTGTAAATAAATAATTTAGAAATCACCAATATGCCCATTTATACCTTTTGGGCTGATAATTTCGATGATATTAATTATTAAAGTAGAATATATATAGTTTTTAAACAATTATAAAGTGTTCATACAAAAATGTTCATAAACTTTCTTAGTTTACCATTTAATGTACCTATATGATTTTTAGGAATGAAGTAACCAATATTCTGAAAAACTTCTACTTAAAAAACTTTATAGTAATGACGGGTATAGTAACTTCAAGATTAGGTTTTTATACATTAATCATGGCATATATTTATATGGGTAACATAACCAGCCCTGAGTTGATTTTCTACGTTTTTAGGCAATTCCATACATTAACCAATTCAGTTGGTAACAAACTAAAAATAAATTACACAAACAATATTCACAAATTATTTTTTGTAGGTATTGTTATACCTTTGGGTCTGAGTCATATTGCTGAGTTTAGAGCAGCTCTATTGAGGATAAACAGAATTTTAGTAGCGGAAGAATTAAAAGAAACTGCTGATCACGATGAAATTGGCAGTATTGAAAACCCCAAAATCGATCTCAGACACGTTTCCGTCCATATTAAAGATTGCGAAGCAATAAAAAATGTTACACTCACCATTGAACCAGGTTTAACTGTCATCACAGGCAATTTGGGGTGTGGAAAAAGTTCACTGCTTAAAACCATATTACAAGTAAAAAGTTTAACTTTTAAAAGCATATTATAATTATAACAAAATGGTTTTTAAGGATTACCCAAAAACTAAAGGAGATGTCACCGTAAACGGAAGAATTTCTTATGCTCCCCAAGATCCTTGGTTATTTCCTGCTACCATTAAACAAAATATTCTATTTGGACAAGATTATGATATGGAAAGATACAATGAAGTTGTCAAGGTAAGTCGCAAGTCTAAATTTTAAACCAAAAAACACAGTTTAGTCGTCTACCATGCAAAGTAAAAGAAACGATCGATTAAAACTGAGAAAATCGTAAAAAACACTTCATACCACTTGAAAAAAAACCTTGTCACTTAACGTATTTAAAAAATATCAAAGATTGATATTCAAAATATCAAGCGTAATAAAATGCAGATTTTTTTCTCAATTCTATGGTATCAAAAACTCTTTTACTTTGAACCGCATATCCATATTAAGACGATTCAATAATAAGAAATAGATCAACAATTTTTGGTCTCTTATAATTCAAGTTTTATAAAACATATTTAAGGTGTGCGCTCTAGAGTTCGACTTTGCTCTATTCGAACAAAGAGATGAAACAATTGTAGCAGACAGAGGCTTAAATTTAAGTAAAGGTCAGCAAGCCAGAATAAATTTAGCTAGGGCTGTCTATAAAGACAGTGAAATTTATCTGCTTGACGACAGCCTAACAGCGTTGGATCCTCATGTACAAGAGTACATATTTAGGGAATGTATTCAAGGTTACTTGAAGAAAAAGAAATGTATTTGTGTGTTGGTGACGCACAATCCCAAACATATAGAAGCATCGAATAAATTGGTTATCCTTCAAAATGGATCTATTAAATCATGCGGAGAAAGCAAGGATGTAATAAAAGAAGAAATACTCAAAACCATAGAGAAATCCTTTGAAACTCCTCAAGCAGTAGAACCACTGATTGAGAAACCTATAACTGAAAAAACCAAGTTGTTAGAAGTTGATGGACCCGTTAAGAAAAATGTTTTCTACGAGAAAAAAAAGCAGGGTGGAATCAGTTTGCAAGTTTACAACAAATACATACAATTTGGAGGTGGCATGTTGATATTTATTGGTATTTTGTGTATGTATACTGGATCCCAATTTATTGAGAGTTATTCCTCCAAAATGCTTAGTAAATGGTAGGTTTAGTCTACATAAACTTTCCACAAATAATATTTTAAATAACCTCCTTAGAAATCTCCTTAGACGGTTTTAAAAATGTCTCAAATGTCCAAAAACTATCTTGGGGCTATCTAAAATGTTATGTTTTAACCAAAATGTTTAATTTGGATGGGATACTTACTAGACAATTGTTGTAGGGTTGATTTGCAGCAGAACATGACAATATTTAGGATAACCAATACCACAAACACCACAGCTTACCTAAAAACTAAAGAGATAAATGATTGGACTCTAAACGTTTATTCCATAACCACAATTTCATCAACAGGGTTGGATATGATAAAGTTTTACATCTTTCTACTTTTTGCCACCAGGGCATCGTTCAGAATACACAAAAAAATGATATCCAGCATTGTTGGATCCACAATGTCTTTCTTTGACTCCTATTTCATCGGAAACATATTGAACAGATTCTCGCAGGATATCAATGTAGTCGATGAACATATGCCATTTGTTTTCGTACAATTCGTAAGGGTATGAAACTAAATTTACAAGTCAAACATATATAATATTATTACTTTTTATGTTTTAGATTTTGTTTAAAGTCGCGGGTTCTGTTTATCTAATAACTTCAGTAAGCTTGAAGTTTGCTATTATGGTAACAGTTTTATTTGTCATAATGGTTACTTTAAGATTTATTTATATTCCAGCAGGAAGAAGTCTAAGAAGATTAGAAGCCGCAAGTATGTTACTCCTGTAAAAGTTTTGTTGAGGCCTATTTAGAGATTTTTTGTCTATTTTAAGGCCGCAGTCCCATGATTGGTCACTTAAATTCATCTCTGGAGGGTATAACGACCATTAGAGCTTACAAAGCCCAACATATACTGAAAGTTGAATTCGATAGGCATCAAGATATGTACACATCTGCACACTATGTATCATTTTGCATGAAAAAAGGTTTCACCTTTGCTATGGAAGTGTTTGCAAAAATATTCTTCATCTTTGTCATCACAAAATTTTTGTATTTTGATAACCGTAACATATCCAGCTCTTTAACAAAAAATTATGTCTTACAAAATACAACATTTTAGATACATCCGCTGGAAACGTCGGCCTTGGACTTACAGAGTGTATGACTCTATCATTTTTAGTGCAAATAGGTTTGACAAATTGGTCTGAGCTGGAAAGTATGATGACATCTGTCGAAAGACTTCTAGAGTATACAGACTTACCCAAAGAATATAAAGATGGACAAAGCGTTGCAAATTGGCCTACTGATGCTTCCATTAGTTTCGAAAAGGTATCACTTACCTACCCCAATGCCAATAAAACGGTGTTAAGAAATATCAACTTTAGTTTAGCGCCTAGATCTAAAGTTGGTATTGTTGGTAATACGTTTAAAATTAATAATGTTAACATTCTTATATTCTTAAATTCTTTAGGTCGTACTGGTGCTGGTAAATCCACCATAATCGCTACCTTATTCAGACTTTACAACTTCGAAGGCAGAATTATTATTGATGGTGTCGATACCAAGACTTTATCACTCGACTTCCTTAGAGATCATATATCTATCATTCCTCAGGATCCCGTACTGTTTTCCGGAACTATTAGAGAAAATATGGATCCAAAAAATAGATACAGCGATGAGGAAATTTGGAAAGCTTTGGAAAGTGTTTATATGAGGGATGCCATAACTGATTTGGCATTGAGGGTTAACGAAAATGATTCCAGTTTTAGTACAGGTAAATTATTATTTTGCGGTTTTCAGGTGCTAATTTTTATAGTTTGGGTATACAACTAATCTAACCTCACTTTCTACTGATTATTATAATTGTACGTTTTATGTATTGATAAATACATTCTTAATATGTTAACCAATCAAAACGTCGGATTTCAGAAATTTCGACTAATAAGATAAAATGTATCTAAAGGTGGATAAAATCGATTATTCCACTCATTACTTTATGGAGCAATCAGATTTCAGAAATTGGTTGCTATGCGAAAAATAATTGTCGTTTTGGTCAAAAAATCATACAGAAATTGAATTGGCAGTTTAAAATATTTGTGAAATAGTCTTGCCGAATACCACTCGTGATAAAATTTTTGATTTTTATTTACTCAAGATTTTTTCTTGTAAATTTCGCTTGTAGCATTAATTTAAATACCACTTGCGAAATTTTCAAGAAAAAAACATTCGTATAAAAATCAAAAATTGTATCGGAAAAATTTTACAACTACTGGTATTATATACGATAAAAGCCCTGTTGGTATGTTACTACGTAACCTTTTTTTATCTCTGGTAAACACATACAGCCCGTTAAGAGTAAAACCGAATATAGGGAAACGTATGGGGCGTGGCTTCTCTTCCCTTCAACGCGCGTCACAGTAGCTTGTGTGATAAACGACATGACGAAAGGTCGAGCAGGTAAGACGACCTTGAAAATTAAATGATAATAATGCAAAAAATCTCATCGTTGGAGGGAGGAGAGGCCACACCCCATACATTTCCCTATATTTAGTTTTACTCTGAACGGGCTGTATATAAACAGAGAAGCCTGCACCAGTGACAGTTTGTTTGGTTTCCGTTTGTTCTACTAAAAAAATGAATTCCAAGCGATTTGGAAACTTCAACGACAAGTGACCTTGCAAATATATTAACTGATTGGGGATTTAATCTGAAAAAATCTAAAGAAGATGACTAGAAAGAAACCGCTGTAAAATGGATGTGAAACGTTATCGCAAAAAAATTGCAACAAAAATATTTTAATAACAATTTGATCCATTTACCGGTTTGAAATTTAAGGGAAGCAAAAAATACAAATAGAAAGAGATTACAAGCTATTCCGGAAAAGCGAAAACACAGTTCACTTGCTCTTGAAAAAGAAAATGTGAAAAAAATGATACAGGTTTAAAACGAAGACACGCCTGAAGGGTTGCAAAAGAAATTTTACCATGTTGCAGCATTTGAACTTGCTTGGAAAGAAGCAGTCAAATGTACAACAGATTATTTTAAATTCGAAAAAATTTAAATGGAATTTTAACCAATAGATTGGAATAAAATACTATTTTTTCAAAGACACGACAAGGAGCCTCATTGAAGGAGGTAAAAAGAAGCTTAGCGATAACAACGGACAGATTATTTTTGACGCCAAATTCTTTATGGAATTAAGCCAGCGGATGGTATAAAAATGTTCCTGTAGGAAGAAATACACTAGGTAAATGGACTAAGAATAATATTACAAATCTCTCAAAGTTTGAGACTCAAACAGGTGCAGTACTGTTTAGATTTTAGCCAAATCTGGCGTTTCTACTGAAGGCTTAATTAAAATAACTGGGGATGTTAATGCAAAAAAATACACTGTGCGACAAATTTTGACCTAACAATTTGAACTGGGATGAAATGTGGAAAAATCAAATCTATGCAACCCCCAAAACTAATCTTTAAAGGGGTTTTGCTAGTTTAGCTCGAATAATGAAGATATATAAAAGCCTCTAGAACTTAAAAAATAGGATTTGTTTTGGGGGTTGCCTAGATTCGATTTTTTCAGATTTGATCCCAGTTCATTTTTTGTGTTGCACAGTGATATAAGTCCTTACTTAATATTGGATGATAACCATCATTCAAATTAATTTCCAATTTAAGAGATCCTACAAGCAGAAATTAAATTTCTAGAAATACTGCCAATAATGAAATTTTAGAATCCAAGAGTAACACAACTATTTATAACAATTGTGTTTTTCATATATTAAATAAGTAAATTTGTTTGTTATTTATGTAAGTAAATACTTCCATAAATTTGTAAAAATTTGTTTTTTTCTTAATTTTATCCCAGTCATTTATTTATGTATTTATCTTTCCATAATACAGATGAATTTCTCTCGAATTAAGGGACATCACTCCACTTCGACGGCTTTTGGTTGTTTAGTTTGTTTTATTTCCATCCCTTAAAATTTTGTCCTATTTTATTATGCGTTTGACATTCACAGGGTTTAAATAATCAAACGTAAAAAAAAAAAAAAAAATAATAAACCAAAAATACACATTGGTATTTACCGTTCTATAATTAACATTTACTTTCAACAGAAAAGGAGGTCAATACTCTTCATATCACTATTTCTTCAATTAGTCAAAACAATTTTTATATATTGTAGGTCAAAGACAGTTAATCTGCATTGCACGAGCCATACTAAGAAAAAACAAAATCGTGGTTTTGGATGAAGCCACTGCCAATATGGACCCAGAAACGGAAAACTTGATACAAACTACGATAGAGCAGAATTTCAACTACTGCGCTGTTTTCATCATCGCTCACAGACTGCAGTCTGTGATGAATTGTGATAGAGTCATTGTAATGGATAAAGGGGAGATAATCGAATTCGACGACCCCACCATTCTGCTCAAAAATAAAGAGGGTCAATTTTACAACATGGTCAAGGAAATCGGCTTGCTGGATTCTTTGGAATAACTACGTCACAATGAGATTCGTTAAGCAATTTATTGAGTTGTTTTTAACAGAAAAGACATTTTACAATGTGTAATTAGGTATTTATTTAATAAATTGTTATTACAAGCATCAAACTTAATTTATGTTATCTTTCTTTTAATGGAACTGTCGCAAGGATTTCAAGGCTGCAAGTTTATTCTGAGAAAATTTAATAATTTTTAAACATTACACAGGGCGACCCTCATTTGTTTGTCTACTACTTGATAGTTAATGTAGCTTATATTGACATTATATAATGTTAATATAAACTCACTGTTACACATCTGAAGCGAAACAATTGTCATATTTAAATAAAATAGTGAAACTTTTAAACAGTGTAGTTTATATTAACATTTTATCAACATTTAAGTTACTTTAGTTACTTAATCAGGTAAAAGTCGAAACAAGTAATTATATTGACATTCTTACTACGTTTATACCTATAGGTATAAACATTGTAAGAATGTCAATATAATTAATTGTTTCGACTATAGCTATAGCTTAAGTTTGAAGTTTTTTTAAGCTTAAGTTGGCATTCTTAAATCTATTAAAAAAGTGATCTTTTAGTACACCCTTTCTAATACACATCTTAACATTCTATATACAAGGTGACCCAAAATCACCGGACCAAATGAAATATTTTAGACCAAAAATCCTTAACCATGTTTTTATGAATTCGCAAAATTGCAAGAGTTATCTTATTTTTAAAGCCAGCAATACAAGCGCAGTGTCTGTATTGTATTTAAATTTAAAAAATCATAATAAAAAATTGAATCTACAAAGTTTTTGTTTTGAGTGCGTTCCACCAACTTCAAATACTGACAGACAGCTGTTTCGACCTATATTGGGTCTCATCAGTGCCAGGAAACTTCGTGTAGTGGAACACACCCAAAACCAAGGGCTACCTGAGCTTATATACTCCGTTGGTAAGCCAACAGAGGCGAGATGTAAGAACATCGAGATGTATGTTCAATTCTTTCCTATATCCAGTATCTCCAGTATTGGTATAAGTTTCTTAAAGAAGCTAAGGCACGGTGCTGTTCTGAGAGGTGATTTTTGGACTTTCTGTGAAACCTAATTTTTTTTATATTCTTGTTAATTAGGTCATAACTAAAAATTTAAGAGCAAAATAAAAAAAAATTTGACGGTTAATTTTGTTTTAATTGGATGTTTATTAAAAATATGTATGCACACTTTTAATTCTCCAATTAAAACTTGCGATTTTATTTAAATATTATCGTAATTTTTTAAATTAGATTAAAGATTAGTTAATTTCCTAAAAAAAGGTCTATAAATTTTTTATATCTTTTACTGTTTTGTTGTAATACACGTTTAAAGTTTTAATTTAAGGTTAAATGTATAGTATACATTTATTAAACAATAATTCTAAGGGTGCCACATTTTATTTAGGGCCGATTTATTCATTTTTGATTTATTTAACGAATAATTTCTTTGGATACTAGATATTGCCAAGCCATGAAAGTTATCGGCCCGATAAACTTTACTAAAGATGAATAAACCGGTCCTTAGTTAAATTTCATGAATTTCTTCGTAACTTTTACTACAATTTTTCAATTTTGTTTATAAAAAACACTTTAAAAAACTAAACAAAAATTATAGAATACGTATACTGAAAATGACAATTCAAACGTCAAATAAATTTTTAATAGATCTAAGTTTCATGGCAACCTTTAAGGATATATTAATTAAGGGAACATAAATGTATACGTCAAAGGTTAGATTAAAAGTTTGAACGTTTATTGCAACAAAACAGTAAAATATATAAAAAAAATGTAAAAAACCTTTTTTTTAGTTATGCAAATATTAAATATTTAAATTAAATCGCTAGTTTTAATTGGAGAATTAAAAGTGTGCATACATATTTTTAATAAACATCCAATTAAAACAAAATTAACCGTCAAATTTTTTTTTATTTTGCTCTTAAAATTTTAGTTATGACCTAATTAACAGAAATATAAAAAAAAATTAGGTTTCACAGAAAGTCCAAAAATCACCTCTCAGAACAGCACCGTGTAAGGAAATTGAATGTTTAAAAAAAAATCATATTTCTTGACCTGAATAAGGTAGCGACTTTAAATAAACCACAATCTTTAAAGCAAGTTAGAACCCTTTTCTATAATTGTAAGCAACTTTTTTATGTATTGTTTTTTTTTCTAAAATTATGTTTCTATAAATTATTGTTAAAAAATATTTAAAAGTACAATAAAAAAATATTTTTTGTACAATTGGCGTATTGTACTTACAACCCTATAATTTTTTTAAATTATTAATTTGGTTTAAATCTATAAAAGCAGATCTGGTCAATTTTATCTTAAAGAAACCCAAAAATGTTATTTTTTCAAATTTTGTACACATTGGCAAGTTGTGGCTTTATGGCGTTTTAGTCACGGGCTAAAGTTAGTTTTAAGTTAGTTGACAGTTGTCAATTGGTAAAATAAAGTGCCCTTATAAAATAATACTAAATGTAAAAATAATTTTATTATCTCAAAAGTTTAAATGAACATTTGACTGACCTTTTAATTTCGCCCTCAGTAAACTAGATTTAAATTAATTTCGGGTGAAGACTTCTCCGGGCCCATAAAACATTTTATTCACTTTCACTGTGAAAAACTGCTGTTAGTTTATTTTCAAGGTATAAATTACGATTTATACAGAACAATTTGACATATTCCCAATAAATATTGCTTTATATATGTCAATCTATAGAACAAGTGTAGCATACAACTTTTCTAGATACTTATTTAATTAAACACTCGATTGCAAGCTCGCTCGTGCCTCATTAAAATTCGTGATTAAAATGGCGTTTATACATAATTAAATAGGTACCGTAAACACGGGTGACTTTGCACACCGCGGCACACTGGGAGGAATTTCAAAAATCGCGGACAAAATCCTATTTTGTAAAAATCAACATAGTAAATTTTAAATTACGAGTTATAAAAAAGAAAGCACAGAGATTATGATTTTAAAAGAAATATATTTTTTTATAATAAAATGCCCGCTTAAACTTGCTTAAAAAGTCACATTGTTCGTGTCGGTTTTTTAGAGCAAATTGTATGTAAGTTTTTTAATCCCATTTTTGTTTTGCGTAATTAATGAAAGGAAATGATGGTATATTTTACTACATTCCTTATCCTTGTTCTTTCATATAAAAGTCTAAAATTGCAAATTTTACCATAAATACGGTTTTTATAAACCTTTTACCATCGCCTTTAAAAGTAGATAAATCTTTTACAAACCACAAGATATTTCGTTATGTGTGCCTTGGTGTGACGCAAAGTATTTGGTACCAGAACGTTCATCAAATTTTCTTTTTTTAAAGTCAAAAGAATTAAGCTGCCTTTTTTTGCCTGTTTGGTCAGCGGAATATGAAATATGTCCATGAATTTATCATATTAGTCGAATATTTATAAGTCATCATAGTTGCCTTTTGCTAGTTCTAAAACGTCAGTTTCCAGTAAAAGTCAATCATACATACAATCTCATCGTGTTTTTGTGTTTATTAACGCTTCATAATAATATTTGGTAAGTTATAATATTAATATTAATATAAATATTACATGTTTATTTGAATAACTTGCTTCTTTTTATGTAGAAATGCCATCAACGACTAATAAGGAGTTGTATGAACTAATTAAAAATGTTAGTAACAAAGAAAAACACAACAAACTTTTAAAGTATCTAACCGAAAACCTGGATATTATTGATAAATCTTATATTGTCCCCTGAATCCGAAAATATCGTCAAAAGTTAAAAAAGTAAAACAGTTTTTGAGATATAGTCAATTTTTCATTTAATATGGAATTGACTATATTTCAAAAACTGCTCCACTTTCATAATTTTGTATGGCATTTTCGGATTCAGGGGACAATTTTACATAAGAATTGGATGTTAAATTTTGGGATACCATTATATTCCATGGTTAACTATGGTACAAGTAAAAAAGCAGCCAATAATAACTATTAAATTAGTCATTTTTGACTAATTCATTTTTAGAGAGTAGGTAAAAAACGTGGATTTAACCGGTTTTGCTTTAAAGTCAACTTTTAAATGTTATTTTAACATCGATAAAGGGTTTTTTTTGACCAAGTCACTCTAGTAGTCGATATAAATAAAGCAAAAGATGCGAAATTTACAAAGAAAAGATGTATCGAAAAAAATGTATATAAGTGATTTAGCTTGAATATTCCTTAATTGTAATTGTTTTTTTTTTGTTTATTTTTTCATTTTTAGCTTAGGTAATATTGCGTAATATATTTGTTTATTAATTTATGTTTTTGGAAAATGGAGGATCGACAATACCGAACTTTTCCAAATTGTTTAAAACAAATTTGTGAATTTGTGTACATAATTAAAACATTTTATTAATATTAACATTTTAGCATAAATTTACCACCGCATAAACCTTAAAATGGCTTAAAATAATGTGTCCCTAATTTTGTCCGCGATTTTTGAAATTCCTCCCACTGTGCGCGGGTGACTTTAACCCATTTATGAAAAATCTTTTCGCGCTCGATAAAATTAACATTTATAATTTGTTGGTCTAAACCTGTCAATTGAGCGATTCTATTGAGTTTATATTACAGGAAAATCAATGATTTAAAAAAAGAAATGGGATTTATTACACTTTAAAATTGTATATATCCTTGGTTAACTGCAGGTCGATTTTTTATTTTTTTTTATGGGTAATCCCTTGCAATAGATATATGTCGCTGCTAACACGTGTCTAATAAAAATAAAATATAATATTGAATTTATGAAAAATCTTTTCGCGCTCGATAAAATTAACATTTATAATTTGTTGGTCTAAACCTGTCAATTGAGCGATTCTATTGAGTTTATATTACAGGAAAATCAATGATTTAAAAAAAGAAATGGGATTTATTACACTTTAAAATTGTATATATCCTTGGTTAACTGCAGGTCGATTTTTTATTTTTTTTTATGGGTAATCCCTTGCAATAGATATATGTCGCTGCTAACACGTGTCTAATAAAAATAAAATATAATATTGAATTTATTTTATACGGAAAATACACTGTGAGACAAAGTAACCCGCAACCAGGGGGTAACTTTGCACACCCAGTTTTTAATTTATATTTTTGAAACTCAGCCCTATGTAATATTATAACATAGTTATTATGAAAGAGCAACTCAAGACTCAAATTTTGGTATACAAAATTTAATGTTTATGATTGTTAAAATTTTAAGCTTAAGTTTGAAAGTGAGCTAAAGCCACCCGTGTTTACGGTATTTAAAAGAATAAAATTCAATTTTAAAATTTTTCCCCTATTGAGTAAAATAAAAATATTAAAAGGTACTTTTGGCCCACCTTTAAATAAAAAGTTGCGATATATGTATTTATGTTTCCTTAAAGTATATCTAAAAAATAGTAAAACATAATTAAAAAAACAAAATATAATTAAACACAAAATCAAATAATTTATGAAACAATAAAACTTAAGATTATTATTAACCATATATTAAACTAACGTTATACTAAACAAAGTGCATTATTATTGTTATTTAAACATACAGTAATTAATTAATCATATAAAAATAACATTCCCAGAACAAAAATAATTGATAAATGCATGTCGCATTTGATACGTTAAATAAATAACCGTGTAGTTTTGGGCGAAATATGTGAACATTACAATGTCCAATCCGATGCAATTAAGTCCTACCATACCTCGAAACCTTGCGATGGATTTCAAAGTGGTACAAATTGTTCGTGAATAACTCTTTAGCTCAGTTCGGGACAAACACGGCTTACAATTGCATTGATAATGATGTTATTTGCTCATTATTAAGTCCTTAAGTAACTTAACAATGGAAAAAGACTTTTGTTATGAAAAATATAAAATAATTTCCTTTTAAATTGTGTAAATAACCCGTCGACTTGTAAATAAATATTAATACTGTTGTGTCGGTGAGATTTGTTTTTTGTGTATTATAATAGTTGGTGTTTTAAGATTAAGAGTGAATATGGATCGAGCGGTGAAGGAAAAACGGAAATCGAATCCCAGAGAAAGTGCCAATGTGCTGTCGCTTCTTACTTTCACGTAAGTTTGCCTACTTACGTGGGTCTGTAGATATTAAAAAATAATAAAATATAACTGTATAATAAATATAGGTAGGTGTTGATAAAAATAATATTGGTAATTTAATAGTTTATACTAAAAATATGTATAAATGTTTTAATGCAGAATATTATTTACTATTTTGTATTTAAAACAACGCTTTTTAATATACAGGGTAAGTCAGTTAACTTGAAACTTCGAATGTAATGAAAAAAAACAAATTTGTTCGATTTTTCCAATAATTTTTGAATAAAATACCTGGTTTTATTTTTTAAATTTATGTATTTATGTAATTTAATGTTTAAATTTTAATTAAAGTAGATGCTCAAAATAACAATATTAAATATTTGCTTGACGAACTCTTTTTTTCGGTTGAACACTCCCGTTTGTAGTAAAGTGCTTGACTGTACGGTGAAATAAAGTACGTGATCGAATTTTTTCCGGAAAACGCTGAGCGTAGATATTAACAGCATCATCAAGATTCCTGCCTGCTTCTCCATAAATCAAAATCATTTCTATTTTTTCTTCTACTGTTAAAAAATACATTATGAATAACTGATTGACGAAGGAGGTCTTTTTGTTTAAAAATTAATCTTCGAACTAAATTTAATAATCCTAAACTATGTATAAATAGTTTCTTTATACCTCAATAATAATTATTATTTATAACTAAATACAATTTTTATACCTCAATTAGGATTAAATTTATTAATTGACTAAATAATGTTTTTTAACCTTAAATGAGGTATTTTTATTACAAATAGTAAAATAATTCTTTAAATTAAAGGATTTAATGATGGCAGGTAAAAAGTGACCATGGTGCGGAATTGATAATTATCACCGAATGAAATAATGTATAAAACTTAAACCAAAGGAAACTTAAATATTAGTTAAAAAATCGTTGTTACTTAAAAAAATCAGATTTAATTTAATAAGATATTTATTACCAAAAAAAGTAATATTTTTATAGAAAAATTATTGCAGAATCGTATAAAAAGAAAAATCAAAAAAATTGATTTTTTTCATTACAGCGCCCTCTATTACAAATAAAAAAAATGTTTTAGACGAAATCTACCTATTTTTAGTCGAATGATCTGCAATAAAAAATAGGGTGTTCCATTGGAAATTTTAAGAGGACCAATTTTAGTACTGATTAATTTCCCTTCTCGAATCATTTAATTTTTATTTTAAATTTTTTTTCGTAAAATGCATACTAACTGAGATATTTCATAGTTTCAAGTTAAATGACCCACCCTGTATAGGATGGATTTTTTATAATTTCATTTTATTTTTATTTTTTTTATTTTGGGTAGGTTTTTACATATTCTATTTAAGTATTTAAATATTTATTAGTATTTTTCTGTTTCGTTATGTTTCCTAGTAAAATATTTAATAATTAACTTAAATTTTAGATTTTTTATTTGCAAATTTACTTAACACTTTTTTAAGATTTGTTGTATTTTTATAATTAAATTTAAACTAAAAATAATTTATATTTATAAAATTAACACATTTATTCATACAGGATGGTCAAAAAGTAGGGTCGAACTTTAATCGAATAATTTGTATATAAATACCGAATTGTCATCAATCAAAATAAAATATATATAATATAATATAATACTTGTATACAAAATATCGCATTAATTCTGTACTTAAATTTTAGTTTTTGTAAATTAAGATCAAGTTAAGAAAATTCTTTTTAGAAAAGAATGGTTTTGTTCTTTGTTTATTCTTTTTACAATATTGTTAAAATTAGACCTACATTTTATTTTATAAAAGCAATACTACTCGGGTTAATTTTAAAATTAAATTATAAATTTTAAGTTTTTTTAAACATTATTAAAAATTTTATTTTAATGTTACCATATTTTGTATCAAAAAAACTGTAAAATTTGAATACATAATATGTATAGGTCATTGCACCAACTAAAATTTTTTTGTTATTGTGCCCCGCTGTTTTTTAAATAAATTATTCTTAAAATTAAAATAATGACTCACTAAAGATTTAGGTATTTTCTTGGTCATGATTTTTCGAATTTCTGACGTTAATTTTTTTTAATGTAAATAATGTTTTATAAAAATACCTACAAACAGTACTGTTTTTATGTGAAAAAATCTTAGGTTTTTAATGACATATTCAAATAATCTGAAAACTGCGCTTTTTCTGGCCTTGCGGCAATTTTATTTATAATTTAATATTTTTTTCTGAAAGCTGAGACTTGTTTACCAGAAAATATGAGATTTTTACTAGGGGGTTATTTTTAGTTTGGATACAACTATACATCATTTTTAAATAAATAAGTAGTTTTTCACAAAAGAGAGAAACACAAATTTTGTTCGCAAAGTTTCAATTGCACAGCTAAACCGCGCACGTTATTTGTGTTTTATTCTTTATTATTTCTTATATCATTGATTAAGAAACTCAACACTTATTTGCTTATATAGTTACGTTAGTGTGTGTAATTTATCTAAATGATAAAGGTGAAATATTGTAAATTTTATTTAAGAACTAAATCGTTACATTTTCATGTTTTGCCAAAGGATCCAATTTGGTACCTATATTTGCTGGTACCAAATTAACTACTAATAACTTAGCCTATAATAATTCATGTTTAAGTAGTTAAAATCTAAAAATAAATAATGGTTACATAACATAATCTTAAAATCAATTTTTTTATATGAGACCTCTAAAAATCACCGTCAACTGCATTTTAAAATGGTAACCGAAAAATAATATCTACGAATATATATAATATATATATATATTATATATAATCCATAATATAATACCCGTTTTTGTATTTTTACTGTTGGGTGAAGACTTTTTTAATAATACATAACGCTGTTTGAATTTAGTCGACTTTTGTTTAATAATTTTTACTGACCTTTGTTTTATAATTTTTACTGAATTACTGAATAAAATTTTCACGTAAATTATTGCTAAAATATGTATTTATCTCCACGCGGTCTATAATTTAAACTTTATTGTTGTCAACATTCGATAAAGAAATACCTTGTTATGGCCTAGGCCGATAAAAATTTTTATGAGGCAAGTAATTAGTTCGATTTTTTCTCGCTAGGGGTATTGTTTTGACAAATTAATCCTTTTCTAAGAAATTAACGTACTAAACTGGTTTAATTTATTTAAAATAAGCACTAATTTGTTTGTTTTACTGTTATAACATTATAATGTTTAATATTTTTCATTAAATTATTGTAAAATTAAATATGAATAATAAAACAAAAAGTGTGGTTAGGACATTGCAATTTGACGTTTCTGTGAATTTCACAGTTGTTTTCTTTTTCTACGATTTAAATTATCTTCAAATTTTAATTTGCTTTAAGTTTTCAGTGAAATTAAATGTTAAATACAGCGTAAACATTCCAAACTACCTATTTTTTTAATAAAAATGCAAACAAATTGAAATTAGATACCTATTTATTAAACAATTAATTGAATTCAATGTAATAGCAAGAGGGTAAGTAAACCATTTTCTTACAAAAATCCATTTCTACTTAAATCATGTAGCTAGGTATTGTCAAACTATTACTGCTTCTAAAAGGAAAAATAATTATTGTACATTTAATGTAATCTTTAGCTAATAAATAAATGAGGTTCTAAAAAAGTGAGGTTAGGCCGCTTTCATGTTAAATTAAATTGACCTATATAAAGTGCTTTGAAGATAAAATGTTGTATGCCATTCGGCCAAGAAGTGTCTTTTTGTGCTTCGCTCAATTGTAGGCCTCCGCTACGCGTCGGCCTTCAAACTTTGAGCTTAGCACAAAAAGCCTTACTTCTTAACCTAATGACATAAATAACTATTATTGTATCTAATAGGTAAAATTTGTTCATTTGATAGCTTATTATTAAAAGTTGTAGTTTTGTTACGATGATATCTAATGGCCACGGGCTGTTCTACTGGCAATGCTTCTTTACCCTGTTGCAAGTAATTTTTTTTTTCAAATAATTAAGTTTATGCATCTGTCAAATTAACGCAAATTTTGTCTTATTTTCTGAAAATAATTTTATACCTATGTATATGTATATTTTTGGGACAAAAACTAATTTTGTACAAAAATAGGTATATTAAAATTTTTTAGAAAATAATACAAAATTGGCGTTAATTTTACAGATGCATAACTTTAATTATTAGAAAAAAAAGATTTACAATTCCTATAGTACACTTTCCTATTTAATTGTCTTTAAACCAAAAATAACCCCATCGTGAATCAACACAACCTAAACCAACCCAACCCAACCCAACCCCATCCCATTTAAAAAAATACAATATACCGTTTAAATCTCAAAAACAGATATTGTTAGAATTTAAAAAAAATAATCTTAATTTTTTTAGTTAAAAAAATTATTATAAAACAGATCCTGATTAATAATTAATAATTATACAATAAACTTTTTAAAATATTTATTTTACAAAACGTGCCTATACTACCGGAATTCACTAATCATAATAATTATATGTATATTTTTAATTCTACCTATAAAAAACAAAAAATTCTATAGAAATGTTTGAACAATAATGATCAATAATTAGCAATAAAAAAACTAATAGAAATTATCTTGCTGAAAAACCCTGGCCAAGGTTATAAACTTGCTAATATAAAATAAACATTTAAGAGATTTAAATTGCTAAAATCAACAATAATAAATAATAGGCACACTTTTAATCATATGCTAAATATCTAAATTAAATGAAAAATGTCTAGAATGTACAGTGTACATTGTACACTAAGCTTAGCTTGGGAAAATCCAAAACAAACAACATATACCTAATCTATATGAAATATTATTTCCTTTACTACCTGAATTGTTAAAATCCTAGACAAATCAAACCAATTAACAACAATAGGATATAAATTTTTTACAGTTATGATAAATGCACAATCATTTGGTATTTTTCGGATAAAATAGTTGTACACAGGGACGTAGCGATGGGGAATGTGGAGGGGTCACTTGTTTTAGAATATACTATTTAAAACAAAACTCACATTTTTATGCTGTACATCATGACCTACTTTATTTTTTTATATATTTAAAAAAACATTACCTTAAAGTTTTGTCAAAAAATAAATATCGATTTTTTCACAAAAATTACCAAGTAAGTAGGTAATTAATATTTTAATAATCTTAAAAGAGCTTAAATCTTCTATGAGTCTTTATTGGAGAATAACACCCCAAAAATTTATTTGATTTCCTGTTTGAAAAAAATTCTAAAAATATTGGTAACCCATTATAATATTTTAGGATAACATGAAATACAGGGCCATATTACCCATTAGGCAGGCAAGGCAATTGCCTTAGGCGCCACGTAGAAATAGGCGCCTTGTCCCCAAGCAACTTAAAAAAAATAAAAATTGTTACCAAAATGTTTATTTTTTCCAAAAATAAAACAAATAAACAATATACAATTGTAATAACAGAATATTTTTTACTGTTTTTATTATTTTATAAAAATTTAGCTTCCTTTGTAATAACGAGGTGTAAAGCCGACAAAAATCGTGCCACAAATTCACTTCTCTATAAACATATATTTAGCACTCTTTAAACTATTTCAAAACCCCCGTATGCTCCAAGCACACAGATTCCTCTTGCATCGGGTACCCGCTGTGATGTGCTGCTCACCCCAGCGGGTACGAGATACTAGAGGAAACTGCTGCCGGAAGGACTTGGGTGTTTTCGCGTTTATTCAAGAGTGGCACTTCTATGTGTTGTACACGTGTGTTTGGTGATAGCAGTCTGTGTTCGATAGTTAAGGTTGATTTAGCCTGGCTTTTAAATTAAATTACGTTACGTTAGATTACGTTACACAAAATGCTGGCTAAATCCACCTTTAGATAGTGTTAATTTTTCTGTTTGTTTTAAGGTATTTCTGAAATTTTAATATTTTAGTATAACTAATTACAATAAACCAGCAGTACATCTAACATACAATACAGAAAATTAAAGTTGATTTAATTTTTTTTAAATACTTACTAATGACATCTTGCAGAAAAACGCAGTTATAAGTCCTAACACTTTTTATTTACATTATATTTGTTATGTTTGTATGTTATTTATGTTTTTTATGTATTTTTTTAATGATAAAAAGTATTCTAATTCATAGGGCGCCCTTAAGCTAACAGTTTGGGGTGGCTCTAATAAGCTTTTTTAAAATTTGCCCCGGGCCCCGTAAGTATAGTATCTAGTTAGAGGAGCCAAATTTTTAAGTGCCTAAGGCGCTCAATTGCCTTAAGCCGGCTCTGATGAAATATTTGTCAATATATTGGATAACATGAAATATTTGTCAATATATTGGACCATAGTCCTATAAAGTACTTAATTACCAAAATTAAACGTCCTACTGTCAATTTAACATTAAATAAAAGTTTTTTAATCAAAATATTAATAGTATAAAAAATCTTATAAATATTTACAATCCGTATCGTAAACTATGACCTCGAATGCTTAAAACTTCATACTTGATTACAATTACTATTAATTTGTTAAAGTAACCTTATCTTTATAAAGTTTATAATTTTTATGATTCCAATGTAAAATGTAAGGTTTAAATTTGCATTATGTAGCACGTGAAGCAATGGTAATCATTTAATAAGACGTGAATTATCTAAATTGAAAAATAGGTCCTCATTGTATCATATCTTGTTTGTTAATTAAAAAATCAAAAAGTAGGTAGCTACTATTTACTACAAATATGATTCATTTAGTTACCCCATATAAAAATTAAATTAATAAAGAAAATAATTTAATTAAGTATTATTTTCTTCTAGATACACTTTTTCCCTCTTTAAAAAGGCCTTCAAAAATGATTTGGAAGACGATGATTTATACGAAGTCGTCAAAACTTGCGAATCGAAAAAATGGGGCGACAAAATCGAAAATCAGTGGAATTTACTGAAAAAGAAGAACAAAAAACCGTCCATTGTTAAACTGCTATGGGTCTGTTTCGGAAAGTTTTATTTATGTTTATCCATGATCCATTTTGTATGGAAGATGGTAAACAGGTAGGTCTATGTGGCAGGGTATTAAACTCATATTTTAAAGTGGGTCTGTCAAATGTCATACAATTGTCAAAATAAAGTTGGGTTAGAACAATTTGACAGATGGGATTATTTAGTGGGTGCACCAAATATCATTTAAATTTATGTGTATACATACTTCCATCATAGAAATTCTACGGTTATTTTTTTCATTTAACCAAAGAAAAGTTGCGTAATTACAAGCCTATTCATATAAAATTTATGAATTGAAAAAAAAAACCGGCGATTTTCAAAACATTAAATTAACTAATTCCTGAGAATTTTGATACAAAGTAAGTTTTACTTGTTAATACACACAATTATTTTCATTTTCATCCAATTTCTTAAATACCATGTTTTGATTTACCATCACCATCTTTTGTTAATGGCCATGTGAAATTCCAATAAGGCGGCCATTCGAAAAACAAAAGATGGTGGTGGAAACTCATAATCTAGTGGGCAAAAAAATTGGATGAAAAAGTAGATAAAAGTTAAACTTTTTTTTAAATTTACAGAAATAACGATATTTTTTATTTTGACAGGTTTTGAGTTTTTTTTCAAATTATTTGAAAACCTTTCATTTTTAATTATGTACCTACATGTTTTAAAATGTATTTGTGACATTCTAAAATTTGTTTGATATTCTAAATAATTTAACAATTATTTCCTATGCTTTGTTTTTGACTTTTAAATTTTTGAAATTCTATAATATTGTTTGACATTAAAAGAAATGTTTTAAGATTTCAAGTGTTTTTAATATTTTGATTTTCTTTTACAATAACATAAAACTCATTTTTAAGTAAATATGATAAGCAAAACGTTTTGATTTTACTTCGCATTTTTTTTAACAATTTTTTTTTGACATACATTTTTTTTATAATTTTAAAATATTTAACCTTCTAAAATTAGGTTTTGGGAATGGGTCAAAATTCGTTAAATCAGAACAAATATTTTTTGTGGCTAAATCAATCAAGCTTTCTATTATACAAATAAGCCTGTCAAGTAGTTTTGTCAAAGAGAATTACGAAATTTATAAACAATTAAATTTTGAGGTCATTTTTTTAAAAAGGTTCTATAACTTTTAAGTATATCGACCGATTAATAAATAATTAAATTTGTTTATCCAACTATTTATAAAAAAACTTCTATTATGTGTATATGTGTATAAGTTAAGTGTAACATTTATTTTTGTTTAGATTTTTGGGAGGCCCAGAACATAATTAAAAATTGATTTTATATAAATATTTAGTTCAAATAAAAATTATTTTAATTATATTTAATTATTTAACAGACTTTATTTTGTTTAAGCCCGTTCCATCAAAATCGGTCGAAATATTTTAAAGTACCTATTGGATATTTAAAAAAAGTTGCCTCAAAATTTAATTGTTTATCATATCAATTGTGCGAAATTGTCTTCTTAAAATTTATTTTGATAACCTAAACCTGACTGATTAAAGGGGCTAGAATTATAATAATAAAACCACAAAAATATTAAATTGGAGCTGTATATTTAATTTAAAAAGTAACATTTAGTTTACATGTTAAATAACTTTTGTAGACATCCCATTTTAAGGCACTTAATATTAATATTTTATGTTTTATTTTAGTATATCCGAACCCATAGCATTAGGAAAAGTGGTATCGTACTTTAAAAACAGCCAAGATAACCACATATCTTTCGAAGAGGCAATATGCTACGCTGGCATACTAATAGGACTAAAAGTAGCTCAATGTTTCTACTTCCAAAACTACCTCATATACCTTAACACCCTTTCCCTACAAATCCGAACAGCCTTTTGCTCGTTGATCTACAGAAAAGCACTAAGACTGACTCCATCAGCAATGTTGGATATTAGTTTGGGAAACATAGTGACTTTGGTCACTAAAGATGTTCAATTGTTTGAACATTGCATATCGTTGTTTGCTGATTTGTGGATAGCGTGCGTTCAGACTGTTACGGTTTGTTATTTGATATATTCCAGGACTGGTTATACATCTTTTGCTGGCATCAGTGTGATGTTTTTAGTCCTACCCTTACAAAGTAAGTATTTTGTACAATTAAGTTGTCGTGGTACAATATTGTACGCAAGACTGTACCCTGGAGACGTTACCTTTACGTAATACTTTTAAATATTTTCATAAGTTTTAATCCGGCAACGTCGCTTATGCTCAACCAATAGATATATTGGAGACTGAATCAGTGTTTGAATTTACTGCGGAAATAATATCTATACTCGAGTACAGCGTTGCCAAGTTGTTTTTACCTGACACTAGTGATGTATACTTTTTACAAATTGTTGAACTTTAAACGGTTATTTATAAACAATTGGACGGTCAAAAATTTTTAATTATTTTTTTTAAACTCAGCAAAAATACATTAAAAGACTGTTCGTTTTTTGAAAACTTCTGACAGTTAGTTTTTTTTTATAACTAAGAAACTGGTACAGAACTACAGAAAGCGTATACAATCCATGTTAATTATCCAATTTTTAATTGAATTTATCTCGGGTTATAGACGGTCCATCGACTTCAAATTTTAAGGATAATTGTATTGTCATGTCCTTAATATGTATACAAAAATTTAAAATTTTCTGATGGTATGCTTACAGCACGACAACTACTTTAAAGTAGTTAAGATTAATTAATTATTTAATGCTATTAATTACGATTTGTTTTCGCAAAAAACCGTTTTTTACTGAATTTGTAGCTATATCTATCATTGTGTTAAAATTTCAACGCAATGCAATAAAAATCGTCAAATACTGGGTAAAAACATGGTTTTTAACTTTGTGAATGTGTATAATTTAATTTTTTTTATTTAATTGGGATGCATTCTTATGCAAATAATTTAATGTACTCTTTAAATTAAAAAAAAAACAACGTTTTACTCTTAATGCACTATTGATCTTATACTGGTTTTATAATACTCTGGCTATTTTAAAAACTAATTTGCATTAAGATTGAAATTTTCTTAGAAATGTAAAATAATTTTGTTCATTTTGTTCCCTCTTTATAATCCTGGACATACTGTATACGAATTTAAATTAAAATATAAAGAAATCGTTTTATGAATTTTACATTTTATAATGAAGAATGTATATGCAATATTGCAATTATATAAGAATAAAAATTGTGAAACCCAGTATTCGATCCATCAGGTGTTTAAGATTTCTTAAACAAGAGTTGCAAAATTCAATTCTATTGCTAATTGTACAATGTTTAACGTTTGTTTATGCACCTGACCAAAATTATAATTCGTTTTTAAAACCATTAAATATCAAGGATGAATAAATGACACTAATAATAATTTTAAAAAAATTATCCATTACGTTGAATATTTGAAAGTGTATGATCACGAGTAATAACTTATATCCGTTGGGATTAATGCAAATGTAATTTTTTTATCAACATAATGACGAATTATTAGTTGATAGGTGAAAAAAACTTTTGTGTAAACGAATAAAATTCTTAAAACATATTTTATTAGAGAACGATTTAAAATAGTAAAAAGTTAAATAATAATAAATTTAATATTACTTTATATTTAGTATTAGCTTTAATGTATAAATGTAACCTTGTATATCTTATTACCAAGTGAACTGAACTATTACAACAATCTTACACATAATTAATACAATGAATACAAATGCATGTAATTATATTGGGAATGTATTAAAAGTAGTAATTTTAAGTTTAAACAGGAAATATAAAATACGAATTTCATATATGAATGTCTTAACATTTTAACATTTTTTTAGTTTATATTGGAAAAATCGTGGGAACCATGAGACAAAAAGTCAATCACAAAACAGACGACAGATTACAAAGTACCCAAGAAATGTTATCTTCGATAAAAACCCTTAAAATGTACGTCTGGGAATTATTTTTCGACAGAAAAATATCTGAGGCTAGAACGTAATATTAAAAAAAAATAACTGATAAGTTTTACAAATAACTGTACTTAATATTTTAGGAAAGAAACTAATCATTTACTTAAAACGTTTTACTTTAAAATTATTATTTTTATGCTTGGGATGTTAAGTTCCAAAATTGGAATGTACGTCCTCATAATATCCTTTGTTTGGATGGAACAAAGTACAGATGCTGAGCTCATTTTTTACATTTTCAGCCATTTTCATACTCTACAACATGCTATGGGTAAATATTATACATAATTCTGGAGCCCATGTATAATTTTTCACGTTTTTCGTGTGCTCAGAAAGTCCACTTAAGCTTGATTTAAATGTCTTAAGAATGTCAAGTTTAGTTAAGGCCCGATTGAACAATTCGAATTCAGTTGCTTAGTAACAATTGTTGTAACAATAGTTTGAGCTTAGTTTAAATGTAAGTGAAAGCAAAACTCGAATTGTTCAACCGGTTCTTGATGTAACTGTCTTTTTAATCTCTGGTTAAGACACAGTTAGTTTATCTTACCATGGTATCCATAAAAGTTATCTGACTTTAACCATACACTGATAAACCGACCTTAAGGATATAAAACTAAGCTTAATATAATAATTAAAAAAAACTGTGTCAAAAATGACTACTTAAGCCGGTTACAGCACCCTTAAGAATATCAACTTAAGCTAGATATACTGTCAAGTTTGGATTGGTATAAAAATGTTCATTTAGGCTAGATTTAACTATCTTGTAAATGAAAACTTAAGCTGTATATAACTGTCTTAAGAATATTCAGTTAAGCTAGTTATATCTGTCTTAAGAATTTTAAGCTAAGCTACTCTCTAAAAATGAATTAGTCAAAAATGACTAATTTAATAGTTGAGGAGTGATTTTTCAAAAGGTCGTATTTCCATTTGCAACAATTTTTCAAAAAAATGACTATAACCTGTATAGGTTAGGGCAATACAGATTATTTAAAAAAAAATTCTAATACATATTTAATAATACTTCAGACCTGCTGTCATATTTCGCCGTTAATATATGCCTTTTAACCATACCTTTGGGATTTTGTCAAAAAATAACATTCAAGTAAAAATGGAAATAAGGCCTTTTGAAAAATCACTCCTCAGTTATTAGTGGCTGCATTTTTCACTTGTACCATGGTTAATCATGGAATACCATGGTATCCAGTTCTTATGTAAAATTGTCCCCTGAATCCGAAAATACCGTAAAAAATTATCAAAGTGAAGCCGTTTTTGATATATAGTCAATTCCATATTAAATGTAAAATTGACTAGGTATATCTCAAAAACTTTTCTACTTTTTTAACTTTTGACGACATTTTCGGATTTAGGGGACAATTTTACAAAAGAATTGGCTGTTAAATTTTGGGATACCAGGGTATTCCATGGTTAACCATACTACAAGTGAAAAAGCAGCCACTAATAACTATTAAATTAGTAATTTTTGACTAATTCATTTTTAGAGAGTAGATATAACTCTATATCAAATATATCATTTTTAAATAAATAAGTAGTTTTTTCACAAAATAGAGGAAGGCAGAAGTCTTACTCGACAAATTTTGTTCGCAAAGTTTTAATTGCACAGCTAAATCGCTCACGTTATTTCTGTTTCGTTTTGCAACTAAAATCTAAACAATTTTGCTTTAGTACTCGATTTCGATTTATTATTCCTTATATCATTGATTAAGAAACTCAACGCTTATATGCTTATATGCTTATATAGTTACGTTAGTGTGCGTATTTTATCTAGGTGATCATGGTGAATTATTATCTTTTTAATTGTAAATATAATTTAATAACTTAATTGTTGCAAAGGACAAAATATATCTACGAATTCATGGCAACATAATATAATAATACATAATACATAATATAATACCCGTTTTTGGTGTTTTACAGTTGAGTGAAGACTTTTTTAATCAATGCTTTTAATTATGCATAATTCTGTTTGAATTTAGACTTATTTGTTTTATGATTTTTACCGAATTGACCTGTTTGCAAATTTCATGTTTGACAGCTAATTATTAAAAGTTGCATTTGTGTAACGTGGTGGTGCTTCTTTAGCGTATATGTATTAACAAATGTTCATAACTATAATATTCTATTTTAGGAATGCACATACCAATGGGCCTAGGACAAATAGCTGAACTTAGAGCTATTCTAAACAGATTAGCAGCAGTTTTAAACGCAGAAGAACTAAGAACAACCTCTGAACAAGATCCCTATTATTCAATAAAAAATCCCAAAGTTGAACTAAAAAATGTTACTGTGAATATCAAAAAGAAAATTGCTATAACCAATATTACTTTAACTTTGGAGCCAGGGTTGACAATAATTACTGGACATCTTGGGTGCGGCAAAAGTTCTTTGTTAAAAACAATTCTACAGGTAAATAAATGCTGAACAAATAAAAATGTTTATATAAAAAATTGTATTTATTTTAAGGACTATCCAATGAATTCAGGCGACCTTAAGGTTCAAGGGAGGATATCGTATGCTTCTCAAGATCCTTGGTTATTCCCAGCGTCAATAAAACAGAATATATTATTTGGTCAAGATTACGACGAAGTCAAATACAAACAAGTTGTTCATGTAAGTATTTAATTGGTAATTGCAAGGCAATAAACTTTTAAGAGCGTCATTTATTATTCTTTAAGGTTTGTGCACTAGAATTCGACTTCGATATTTTCGAAAATAGGGACGAAACCATTGTAGCAGATAAAGGATTGAATCTAAGCAAAGGGCAACAAGCCAGAATAAATTTGGCGAGAGCTGTATATAAAGATAGTGAAATTTACCTTCTTGATGACTGCCTAACGGCATTAGACCCCAATGTGCAAGATTTTGTCTTCAAGAAATGCATGCAAGGGTATTTAGAGAAAAAGGATTGCATCTGTGTATTGGTTACGCATAATGTTAAACATATAGAACAATCCAGTAAAATGGGTATGTGGTCTCACTGATAGACCGTCTTAGTGGGTGAAATTAAATGTTTTTCTTTTTAGTAATTTTGGACAAAGGCTCCATAAAATTCAGCGGTAAAACCACTGAACTATCCGAGACAGACGTACTTAAATACACTGAACAAGTCCAAACCAAAAAGGAAGAAATGGCTGAAGATGTTGCGGATGAAGAAAGTAAATTGTTGGAAACAGAAGTTGAAGTTAAGAAAAATATTTATCATGAAATTAAAAGAAAGGGAGGAGTTGATATGGCTGTTTATTGGAAATATTTTAAATTTGGCGGGGGATTTTTGCTCTTTTCCGGAATTTTGGTTATGTTTGTTGTCGCCCAGTTTTCAGATAGTTATGCAGCTAAATTACTGAGCAAATGGTAAATACTATTTTTTAAACATAGAATTTTTAAAACTGTTTATTTAATAAAAGTACACAGACAGTATAGGATACTACAGTAACAAGAAAACAGAAACTTTTTGCACCTTTTATGCAGTCTTTATAGATTTTTTAGATCATTTTAAGTCAGTTCTTAAAATTTTAAACAGTTATTATTAGAGTTACAAAGTCGGTTAAATTAGCAAATTCGTGGCATTTTTTCGTCTGATTTAAATGATGAAAATAGAAAAACAACTGAGACTCGGGTTTCCGAAATATTCACAAAAATATAATTTTTTTAATGGAACCTAGTTTAAAAGACAATTTAATTTGAAACAAAAAGCTATTAATGTTTATCTACCCTAAACTTAAAAATAAACAATTAATATACACTTAAACTTTCTGATGGTTGTTGAAATAACCAAATTATTACTTTAAGTACAATCACAAGTTTAAGTGCTTATTAATTATTTATTTTTAAGTTTTGCAATAATAACTTTTTTCCAATTAAATTATTGTCTTTCAAAATATGTAAAATAAAAAAAATTGTGAATATTATAATAATAACGAAGCAATGGTAAGAAGATAACTTTTCAGTGATGGTAATAAAACCGTTTTAAGGTTATAATAATAATAATAAATCATTATGATATCGTTATTTTTTTTTTTCATTAAGGTGCGTCGACTTATTATTATTTATTATTAATATTTAATTTAAATCATTTTAAGATAATAATAAGTATTTGTAGTAGAAAAAGTTAGGAGGTCCATTCCAAAACTCGGATTATCCACTTTTTAATAAAAATGAGTTACTGATGTCTATACATTTAACATGTATCCCCCTATATATACCCTGAAATGTTTATAATACTCTAAAACTTACTTTATTCCATTTGAAATTTATTTACAAATTGAGCTATATAAATGTTTTACTTATGCCTTTATATTTCGTTTAAAGTATTGTGTTGGTCTGATATGCGTTAGTACCCTATTGAAAATGCCATATAGAACCCATATTGAATCCGATAAGGAAACGTATCTGGTTCTATATGGTTTTATAGGTCCTATATGGAAAGTCCTGGTTTACATTACGGATTCTATATGGTTGAATATGGATTTCCATTTTAAAAATTTTCATATTCAACTATATAGGGAAACCTATCTGGAAATACATATAGAACAGAAACCAGATAAATCCATATACAACCATATACATGTCTTTATAAAGACATGTATATGGATGTATATTAGGGTGGTCCTTAGCTATAGAGGTAAAAGATATACTTTTAATATTGAATTGTCCCACCCCCCCATTTTGTTATAACACAAGAGAAAAAAAATTACACAAAAATTTGAATGGCCAACTCAACCCCTTCACGTGCCTGTGAGGGGTTGAATTTTGACAAAATCCCCAATTTTTAAGATTTTTGCCATTTACTCCGCAAAAATCGCATATTTCAAAAAATTTTACTCATTAAAATCTTTTCGTCTATTAAAGGTCTATAAAAATTGTCTCTTGAGATTTTATCCTAGAAAGCACCATTTCCTACACAAACCTTAAATTTGTGGTAATTATGCACAAATGCAATTTTCCAGGAAATGGTGCTTTCTAGGATAAAATCTCAAGAGACAATTTTTATAGACCTTTAATAGACGAAAAGATTTTAATGAGTAAAATTTTTTGAGATATGCGATTTTTGCGGAGTAAATGGCAAAAACCTTAAAAATTGGAGATTTTGTCAAAATTCAACCCCTCACAGGCACGTGAAGGGGTTGAGTTGGCCATTCAAATTTTTGTGTAATTTTTTTTCTCTTTCTCTATAACAAAATGGGGGGGTGGGACAATTCAATATTAAAAGTATATCTTTTACCTCTATAGCTAAGGACCACCCTAATGTATATGGATTTATCTGGTTTCTGTTCTATATGTATTTCCAGATAGGTTTCCCTATCTGGTTCTATAGTGTTTTTATCTGGTTCTATAATGTAATCTTCTATCTGGTTCTATAGTGAAATGTCTGTTTCAAATACCTATATTGAACCAGATACGTGTTTTTCATATGGTTCTATATGGCATTTTTAATAGGGTACTCAAATGCATGTAAGGTTTTTGACATTTTACTCAAAAACAACTAATATGGATAAGCTGAGTTTTGGAATGCACCTCCTCAAGTATAGTATGCAACTCGTTTATAAACTTTTCTAGACCCTCATTAATTTAAGCTCGCAAGCTCGCTCGTGCCTAAATTAAATTATTGACTAAAATTGCGTTTATAAAACTTGATACATAATATACTATTATAGTTTAGAGGATTTTTAGTGAAACGCTTTTTGAGAGCTTTAAGGTATTATACAGTTTTGGAAAACTTTAAATCTAATACTATTTCAAAATGATTTTAGAATTCTCGTCTTGTCTAGATGACTTTCTCATTCCAATTACGCAAATCACTATGTTGTCCAAAACTTTTTTATATTAAAAGTATAAATAATTTTAGGGTCGATCTTCAACAGAACCTAACAAACCTTCAAAAAATAAACGACACCAGCTCACTTCTATACGACAAAACCAAAACTAAAAATGATGACACCTTAAACTGGTATTCAGGAATGACCATAGGCTCAACCATATTGGAACTGTTCAGATATTATCTTTTCTACAGTTTTGCTTTGAGAGCATCGTTCAGAATTCACGAAAGAATGATTCGAAACATTATCAACGCCGCCATGTCTTTCTTTGACAGCTGCTTTATCGGAAATATATTAAATAGATTTTCACAGGATATGAATCAAGTCGACGAAGCGTTACCTACTACCATTTCAATATCTATGACAGTAAGATGTCTTCTTATTTGTTAGTTTTTATTCTAAATATTTTTTTAGATTGCATTTAGGAACATAGGTGTGATATTCCTGATTGCATCAGTAAATTGGCGATTTCTTTTTCCATCAACAGCTTTTCTACTGATTTTAATCGCCTTAAGGCTTGTTTACATACCAACTGGGAGAAGCCTGAAAAGATTGGAAGCAGCAAGTATATAAATACAAATTATTAACCCTACAATATTTTTAACGCGTTTAATTTAGGTAGGAGCCCCCTGGTAGGTCACCTTAATGCTTCCTTAGAAGGTATAACCACTATTAGAGCGTATAAAGCACAAAATGTGCTTAAAGATGAGTTCGATAGCCATCAGGATATATTCACTTCTGCCAAATATACTTCAATATGCATGAAGAGAGCTTTTGGATTTTATATGGACCTCTTTTCAGCTACATTCATCACTTTGATTATATTGAGATTCATGATTGTTGATACAGGTACAATAAAAATAAAAATGAGTTCATTTAAACATAAGTCAAATTTTTAGGTACCTCTGCTGGCAATGTAGGTCTAGCCATAACCCAAGGTCTAGCATTAACCATGTTGGTACAATTTGGTCTTATGCAATGGGCTGAGTTAGAAAACCTCATGACCTCCATGGAAAGACTTTTAGAGTACACTAAACTACCCCAAGAGTCCAAGGATGGCTTAACAATTGAAAATTGGCCCCAGAAGGGTACAGTGGAGTTTATTAAAGTCTGTCTTACCTACGCTAATAGTCACAAACAAGTTTTAAATAATATCAACTTTGCTTTAAATGATAAGGAAAAAATTGGTATAGTAGGACGTACTGGAGCTGGAAAATCATCAATAATATCAACATTATTCAGACTATACAACTTTGAAGGCAAAATCCTTATAGATGGTGTAGATACAAAGACTTTATCGCTAGATTTCCTAAGACAACATATATCCATAATACCCCAAGATCCAGTGTTATTTTCTGGCACAATCAGAACCAACTTAGATCCAAATTCAAAATACACAGACGAAGAAATCTGGAACGCTTTGGATAACGTTTATATGAAGGCTTTTATAAGCAGTCTGGATCTAATTGTTAGTGAAAATGATTCTACATTCAGTACAGGACAAAGACAATTAATAAGCATAGGAAGAGCTATAATACGTAAAAACAAAATCGTCGTACTAGACGAAGCTACGGCCAATATGGACCCAGAAACAGAAACCCTAATACAAAAAACAATTACAGAAAATTTTTCAGATTGCACTGTATTCATCATAGCTCACAGGTTACAGTCCGTTTTAGATTGTAACAAAGTTATGGTCATGGACAAAGGAGAAATAATCGAATTTGACGATCCTATGGTACTTTTGGATAACAAAACTGGTACTTTCTTTAAGATGATAAAACAAGCCGGCCTTTTGGGCACACTGGAATAAATTTAAACAAAAAACGTATTTTACAGTATTTGAAATACATTTTGTAAGAAATATGACTGTGATATAATAGTCAATTATAAAAATACTTCTTAGAAAATAAAATAATCTTTAAATACATTTTTGTTTTAATTACAATCCTGTGGTACAATATATTCAGGTAATATATTGGGTATGATTTACTAATTTTTTATTTAAAATAATAAATTCAACTAAATTCAAAAATCGATAGAGCTAAATTAACCAATAGGTGAAAAACATTTTACATTTGTTTACCATTTATTCATTAAATTTTAGTTATGTATTAAATAAACACTTATATTCTTTTGTTTAACATAAAGGTAATATTTACAAATCACTCTCCAGTAAACCTTTAAATAAACCTAATGAAACTAAATCAATTTATATAGTCATTATTAAAATGTTATTAAGACTAATAACATTGTTTTTGTTGTTTTGTGTTATTTACTGTAAGTTGGAAATACAGCTTGAAAAAGCTGAGTATAAAACAAAACTATGGGCAAATATATCAAAAATTTACGCCAAACATTTCAGCATGGCAAAAACTTTAAACATTAAAACATTTTTTATCGATGAAAATTTGTATGCGAATATTTTTGCGAATGATTTAATTAAAAAATCACAAAACCATAAGGCGGTGGTTTTAAATAGTTATCAGAAAACAGTTTTCCATTTCAAAGGTATTGCCAATTTCACTACTATAATTTCGTTTGATAATGAACCTAAAATGGAAGATTTGGATATGTTCAAGGTGCAGAAATATTCGTCAGAACCACAAGATATTTATTTGTTAATCGCAAGGGACCCAAAAACACTTTTACTTTATTTAAACAACTACCATAGATTAGTTTTGGGAAAGACTAGGGCTTTATACTCCATATTTTATGTAGGTGATGATTGCCGAGAAGACTACATAAAGGATATTTCCCAGGTTTTTTTGACAATGTGGTTCAACTATGGCATTTTAAATGTTGTAGCTTCAGCACCATTTTCATGTTACAGTGAATCCATCTACATCTACAATCCTTTTCAGATAAGCGAGGCGGAACCTTTCGAATATGGTGTTTTAAAGGTATATCAACTGGAGAAAGTCGTTAATAGACCTTACTTAATCTTTAACCACCTTTTGCACCTAAATAATTACTCACTAAAAACCTTGTTGTTTAATCGAAACCCCACCTCTTTAAAAGTGATGCCCAAAAGCTTAACCACGAGAGAAATCTACATAAAAATCCACGAAATATCTGGCTATGTAGGTGTAGATGCGGCCATATTAACCACGATGGCAGCCTACCTTAATTTTACAATCAAAAACTACGATGCAGAGATAGACAGCGATTTCGGTTACGTTTTCAAAAATGGCACAGTAACTGGATCGTTGGGAAAAATAGTACGCAAAGAGGCCGATCTATCTGCAAACGGAAGATTCGTAGCAGACTATAACACTAGCGGTATAGAGTTTACGATTCCCTATACGAGTGAGAAGATTTGTATTGTGGTGCCAAAATCACCCAGAGTTCCGCAGTGGATGTCGACTTTCAAATACTTTCATTGGATATCGTGGTTGTTTCTATTTTGGGTATTTTTGCTGTACATACTTATTTTGTACTTCGCGAATGTAAAGGAAGGTATATTTAGGGCTTGGTTTGTTATTACCTCAATTTTTCTATCAATGCCTGTTAGATTTCCCAGGCGTACGCACTTGGAATTGCTCCTTGTCTCTTGTATGATTATAAACGTCATAATAACCGGCATATTTCAAGGAAGTTTAGTAAAGTCGTTTAGCAAAGTAACCTATTACTCCGATATAAATACTCTGGAAGACCTGGATGACAGCGGATTTCCAATTTATACATCCTTCAGTATTTTTGGTACCAACGAATCGAATTTAGTTAAGCGTCTTTATTCAAGAACTAGAATGAACTACCAAAACGTCGTAATTCTGGATGAGATGTTTCATGGTAAAAGCATTGCGGGCGTGGAGAGAAAAAATGATGCTGAATTATTTCTAAAGACCAAATACATCGGCCCAGATGGCAATCCATTGTTGCACATAGTTAAAGAGTGTCCCAAATCGTATTTTATGGCTTATATACTTCCAGTTGGATCGCCTTTGTTGCCGAGGATAAATTGGTTTCTCAGGAAGCTAACCGAGAGCGGACTGGTGGATAAATGGTATCAGGATACAGTGGACAGTATTATTCTCGATTTCCTTGTGGAGAATCCTTATAGAAAGGAGATTGATAGACCTTTTAATTTGGAAGATCTTCAGGCGGCTTTTGGGTTGTTAATATTTGGATTGTTTATAGCAAGCATTGTATTTTGTATTGAAATATGGTTTTATTTAAAATAAATGGTTTATTTGGGTTTTATTTACTTACTTAAGTAAAAAAAAATGAAAATGAATTTAAACATCTACCATAGATTAGTTTTGGCAAAGACTATCTACTCCACATTTAATGTAGGTGATGATTGTCTAGAAGACTACCTAAACGATATTTTCCAGGTTTTTTTGACAATGTGGTTCAACTATGGCATTTTGAATGTTGTAGCTTCAGCACCATTTTCATGTTACAGTGAATCCATCTACATCTACAATCCTTTTCAGATAAGCGAGGCGGAACCTTTCGGATATGGTATTTTAAAGGTATATCAACTGGAGAAAGTCGTTAATAGACCTTACTTAATCTTTAACCACCTTTTGCACCTAAATAATTACTCACTAAAAACATTGTTGTTCAATCGAAACCCCACCTCGTTAAAAGTGATGCCCAAAAGCTTAACCACGAGAGAAATCTACATAAAAATCCACGAAATATCTGGCTATGTAGGTGTAGATGCGGCCATATTAACAACGATGGCAAGCTACCTTAATTTTACAATCAAGAACTACGATGCAGAGATAGACAGCGATTTCGGTTACGTTTTCAAAAATGGTACAGTAACTGGATCGTTGGGAAAAATAGTACGCAAAGAGGCCAATCTATCTGCAAACGGAAGATTCGTAGCAGACTATAACACTAGCGGTATAGAGTTTACGATTCCCTATACGAGTGAGAAGATTTGTATTGTGGTGCCAAAATCACCCAGTTCCGCAGTGGATGTCGACTTTCAAATACTTTCATTGGATATCGTGGTTGTTTCTATTTTGGGTATTTTTGCTGTACATACTTATTTTGTACTTCGCGAATGTAAAGGAAGGTATAATTAAGGCTTGGTTTGTTATTACCTCAATTTTTCTATCAATGCCTGTTAGATTTCCCAGGCGTACGCACTTGGAATTGCTCCTTGTCTCTTGTATGATTATAAACGTCATAATAACCGGCATATTTCAAGGAAGTTTAGTAAAGTCGTTTAGCAAAGTAACCTATTACTCCGATATAAACACTCTGCAAGACCTGGATGACAGCGGTTTTCCAATTTATACATCCTTCAGTATTTTTGGTTCCAACGAATCAAATTTAGTTAAGCGTCTTTATTCAAGAACTAGAATGAACTACCAAAACGTCGTAATTCTGGATGAGATGTTTCATGGTAAAAGCATTGCGGGCGTGAAGAGAAAAAATGATGCTGAATTATTTCTAAAGACCAAATACATCGGCGCAGATGGCAATCCATTGTTGCACAGGAAGCTAACCGAGAGCGGACTGGTGGATAAATGGTATCAGGATACAGTGGACAGTATTATTCTCGATTTCCTTGTGGAGAATCCTTATAGAAAGGAGATTGATAGACCTTTTACTTTGGAAGATCTTCAGGCGGCTTTTGGGTTGTTAATATTTGTTAATAAAAAAAATGAATCTTTAGAAATGTGTTTAAAAGAAATTCTACATCAATAAAAGTGTTGAAGGTGCAGTAATTGTAATCAAACACACAAGATTGGAAAAGACAATCTACTCCACATTTAATGTAGGTGATGATTGTCTAGAAGACTACCTAAACGATATTTTCCAGGTTTTATTGACACTGTGGTTTAACTATGGCATTTTAAGAGTTGTAGCTTTAGCATCTTTTTCATGTTACAGTGAATCAATCTACATCTACAATCCTTTTCAGATAAGCAAGGCAGTATGGTTATACTGCTTAGGGTCAGAAATAAATGATATGAAAAAATATTAACTAGAGCAAGTCGTTTACTTACCTTACTTAATCTTTAACCACCTTTTGTATGTAAATCAATCACACTAAGAATCTTGTTGTTCAATAGAAACCCAACATCGTTGAAATTGATGCTCAAAGGCCACGAAATATTTGGCTATGTAGATGTAGATACGATTATATTAACGACGATGGCGAGCTACCTTAATTTTACAGCGTTTCGGTTACGTTTTTGATAATGGCATAGTTCGTTGGGAAAAATAGTTTATGATTCCTTATACGAGCGAGAAGATTTGGTACACGATTTGGTATACGTAGCGCGTATTTGACTTTATGACACTTTTTTATGAAGATGTCGATTTGGGGTACTGAAAGGATAATATTCGGTAAGAAATGGAAGCCATAATTGAGCAAGCTTGTCGAAGCATGCATGATTGCAAATTTTAGATTTTGACTTCAAGAGTCGCAGGAGAAAATGGGCAGTATTTAGACAAGCTTTTTCTTCAACTTGGTAAAGAATTTGATAAAATTAGTAATTTAAAAAATAACTGAAAACCTGTTAAAATCAAAAATCATAATTACTTCCTTATTTCTGGAAATCTAAAAAAAGCACCAGCAATAGTGGTTTTGGGCATTTTAGTCACGGGCTGAAGTGGGCTTTATTATAAATTGAGTAAAAGTAAGGTTAAATTCGTTGACATTTGACAAATTTCAAATGTTATACAAATAAAATAGGCTTTAAATTCTGTTTTCAGTTCGTCGTAGATAAAGTATAGTATGCAACTCGTATTATAAACTTGTCTAGGTACTCGTTTTTATCACTCGCAAGCTTCGCTCGTGCCTAATTAAACTCGTAACGTATTAATTATTATTACAGCCTAAACTTTAGACTTTAAACATTTAAAAAGTTTTAAGGTTTCATAAAGTTTTGATAAACTTCAGTTAAATGTACCAAATTCAATTTCGAAATAATTTTAGACAAATCTTTTGGATATATTTTATTGAATTTAAGGATAATTCTGAGAATTTAAACCTTTTAAACTATTTGAGAGCCTATAGGCACTTTTCGGACATTTTAGTCATTTGGTGAATATTTTTAAACTCTTTTAAGATAATAAAGCATAAACAGTTTAAAAAATGTTTTAGGATATTCCTTTTTATTGAGCCAAAATTGATTTTAATTTTTTCCACTGTAGTATTAATTATTACTATGATGATTATACGGTGGTTGATTATTTTCATAAAAATTAATTGACACTGACATTTGTTATCGAATCCTGTGGTTATGGTAATTACACAAAATTAAACTAAATTCTTTTATAAAATTAGAAAAATGGGCAAATTTTTCAATCGTTGAACAATATACCATTTTCAGCCTGTAAAATTACTGTGTACTATAATAATAACTATATATTATTTTTAACAATTTTGGAATGTTTTAAAAAAGTAATAATTCCTAAAATAGTTTTATCTACTCCTACATTGACGACCTGTGACTTTATAGCGTTTTAGTTACGGGCTGAAGTTAGCTTTATTATAAAGGTTTTGTGTTTGTCGTAAATAAAGTATAGTATGCAACTTGTTTTATAAACTTCTCTAGACACTCGTTTTTGTTAAACACTCGCTTGCAAGCTTCGCTCGAGCCTTAATAAAACTCATAACTAAAATGGCATTTATAAAACTTGATTTATAACATACTATTAATAAAGACTTTAAATATTTAAAAAGTATTAAGGTTTTCAAAAGTTTTAGTAAACTACCTTATAAATTTCAAAATTGTCTTTTGGATGATTTTTTTTTTAATTTAAGGATAATTCTGACAATTTAAACCTATTAAACTATTTGATAGCCTATAGGCAGTTTTAGGACATTTTAGTAATTTGGTGAATATTTTTAAACTGTTTTAAGATAATAAAGTATATTTTTAAACAGTTTTTAAAAAGTTTTTGGATATTCCTTTTTATTAAGCCAAAATTGATTTTAACAATTTTTATATTTATGACTATAATTTTTCAAGCTGATTAACTCTTGAGGAAAGTTGTGGGGTTTTTTGTGTGATTATGTTGGCAATATCGGGGCAGCGTGATCGGGACACCTGAGGTTTCAAGTTAGATCGTTAAGGCAGCGCATGCGCCATTTTCACTTTTCAATAGCTGGAAAGTGATAATGCTGTGTTGCCGGATCTAGATAGTTTCAAAATATTTGGATAAAAACTTTTTGATTGAGTGAATTTAGCCAAAAATGTTAAGAGGCTTTTTTTTGTAAAGCATTTAATTATCCAATATTCATCGTTTTTTTTTTCTGGGTACCTACTAATTTTTACATGAATTACAAAATGTAAAACTATACCAATTTTTAAGGAAAATTTCATTTTAACCCTTATTGTAGAGCATTTAATTTTCTGAAAGAAATAAATTTTGTTAAACTCAACAGTTTGGGAGTTCTGAGACAAAAACTTGCTGAGGAAAAAAAATTAAAATTGCGATGATAGACCTCTTAATATTAATATTATGGAATTATCACCCCAAACCATATTTTCGATATACTTTAAAAAAAGAAATAGTTGATTTTTTTGGCCCAGTCTAGTATCTAATCGACAGACTGTTGCATACTCGCACAACCGACATCCCTCCCTCCTGAAACCCGGCAACGTTGCACGTCGGTGGGCCTGAAACTGAAAAGCCCACCGCCGAGAGATAACATCATCATGATCAAGCACCATTCGGCTGGAAACTTAAGCGAAATTATGTGTTAAAAGTGCTCGCATCAAAGTCGGCCAGGAGGCAGTTGCAACCGACCCGACGCCAGGTTGCTTCGTTAAAATTTTCACGCTTTCAATTTTGTGTTTCGTGTCCGTTTTTAGTTTTTTTTCTCTTCGAGGTCAAAGGAATCCATTCAACAGGTAAGAGATCAACATTTTCAACGAATAAGAAGGGAGTTATGGTGCACCTTTTTTTAAGTCTAGTTTAGGACGTATGGACTTGTTGAATTATGTGTGTTTTTGGTAACTGTATTGATTTAAATGGTGTTTATTTTAATGCCATATTGGAATATATTGATCCGTTTAAAGGCTCAATGTGACAATAAGTGGACAAAGACAATTTTACACAAATTTTAATAATAATTTGTAATGTTTTTCTTATTTTTTTGTTTATAATCTTGTTTTTTAATTATTTTATAAAATCATGTAGTAAATCATATTTAATATTATTAATCCGAAAAATGACTAATTCTATTAAGGAAACATCACACTAACAAATTGATTAGTAATATTTTAATTTTATGTTAAAACCACAAGTGACTGATAAGATAATTTATTGTTCTTTAAAAATATTAATATTTCTGTAAAAATTTAAATATTAAATTTTAATATAATTAATACAAATAAACAAATATTTTGAACTGATGCAAGTACTGTCAAAATTGGCGAATGCGCCGGTATTCATTTTTTAAAATTATTAGTAAATTGGGCCGTTGGTGGAACTTTAAAATGTCTTTTTTGGATTTTTTGCCAAAAATATAGCGTTTTTTAACCTACAAATTCTCAAGTTCAAATAATAAATGGAATATAGGTAAAAATTTATAATTACTTGCCCAGAACCACATAGTGCATTCGAAAATATGAACCTCCAGCTCCGACTTTATAAAAATTCATCTGCCTTTATGCGCCTATAAGAGAGTTATGCAAAAATAAAAAATGGCCGACAAATTACCGCTAACCTGGTCATAAAAGTGATATATTTTTTAAATTTGACAATAATTATTGCATTTAAAAAAAACATGTTATTTAAAAAGTCTTGCTTGTTTCAAAAATAAGATTCCTACACAAACATTTTAAATTAAATGTACAGGGTGCTCAGAAACTAAAAAAAAACAAAAAGTGGAAAAATTAATTCTTTTTGAAAATATTTGATGGTTAAAAATCAAAACTTTCATAAAAAGATGAATTATATATACAGGGTGCTCAGAAATTAAAAAAAAAATTATATATCAAAATAAGAGAGAAATGTGGTAAGATATTCGTAACGGAATCGCAAAAAATCATTCTTCATAAAAACTTCTGCTTGGATTTAAAAATGAGATTCCTAACAAACATTTTTAATTAAATGTCCAGGGTGCTCAGAAAATAAAAAAACAGCAAAGTGCTTTAAGAGGGTAGTACAATAATTATTGTTCCATAGGAATCTCATTTTTAAAACATGCAAGAGTATTTAACGCATAATAAAAATAATAAGTTTTCCTATTGTCAACCATCACGATATTGGCTAAAGGGTTGTTAAAAAGAAATATGGTGAAATGTAAAATGTTGATATAATAATATATTTTTGATACTTTGAAGGTAATGCTTTTTCGGATATTCATGATAAAAAATTATGCTTGCGCCATGTTGCAATCGCCAACATTGGCGATAGCCCCCTGGTACGATATATAAACATTTATTTATTTAATAAATAAATTATTAAATATAAAACATAAAAAAAACAAAAAATACACAAATATTACAAAAATTCATTTTATATCATTGGCTAGACGTAGCCCCCTTAATACCAAATATTTTTGAAAGAACTTGATATAAGAAGTAAATTTAGCACATTTAAAAACATAAAAAACACACGTCTTGGGAAAAATATTTAAAGAATAATTTTTGCTGCGCAAAATTTACCTCTCAGACCACTGTGTACCGCAAGAAATAAAAATAATAAGATTTATTTTCGAATCATTCGAAATTTACATTTAATTACAGTGTAAAAACGAATTATAAACAATTTAAGAATCAAAACCAATGTGTTGAAGACATTAGAGATTATTCAATAAAAACAACCATACCGTTGAAAAAATGTTCTTACAAAATTACAATCAATAAATTCTCTCGGTGACATGACGTCACGATGTATATTTTTAGGTTTAATAGGAGCGTCAAGATTTGTGAATGAAGTACCTACATGCAAAAATAAAAATTCCGAACATAACCAAATTCTTTGACAGTTATAATCTTTTTATTTCTTATAAAACCATTATCTGCGTATTTTAGGATAAAGTTCATAAATTATTTTTAAAATTCGCACCTTTAGAATGTACTTTATGTCGATTTTCAAAAGATTTAAATAAAAATATAACGAACATAACCTAGATACAAATGTTGAATTCATTCGTTAGTCCTGACGCTCTCGTGACGTCACGCACTCTTCAAGGTAATCATTAATATAAATATTATTTAATTATAAAACCCTTACACAGTATTAATTTTAACCAAATATTAACCAGATTTTATGTTAATTACATTAGGTTTACATCTGTTAACTAATTGAATGAGTTCCTAGATTGTAATTATAACAAACATTTTGTAAATTTAATAACAAAATCCTATATCAATAATTCAACAAACCTTTTTATGGATCCAGTAACAAAAGTATTTGTTGAAAATTGTAAACTTAAATGAAAAGATTTTTTATAAGAAATGTTGCTTTATTAATTAATTTCTCAAACAAACATACCTACATAAATAAACAGGAAAATAACATACCATTCTGAAATCAACAAATTATAAAGAAATTTGGTACAATATAATTATCAGTACTACTACTGTAACAACAATTACTGATGTATTTCGTAACTTTAACCCACTTCAATGAATCCCCTAATTTCAGTTTGAAATCCAGTGATGGCATCTTTTGTCATTAAAAACGTATAAGCCACAATAATAACAGATTTCTGGTAATATATTAGATAGATAGATAGATAGATAAATTTATTAAGTAATAAACATTACATTAAACGTCAGGTATATATATAAAATTAAAAAAATAAAATGAACATAGCTATAGGTATAAAAAACTTATTAAAAAAACGAATGTTACGAATTAGAATAACGTAAGCAGAAACATAAGTTGCAGACGCTCAGTAGAAATTGTTGATGCGTATTGTCGGTAGGAAATGTTTTGTACTTTTTCAACGAAATAATTCGTTAAAAATTAACAAAATAATCTATAACCTTTAAAATTAACAAAATTCTTACAAAACTGCATATTACCTTTACAAAACTTTCGGTAAATATTTTCCATTGTTAAAATATTAACAAACACAAAAAATTATTATAAAATTTTACAAAATAAAATTATTTAAAAGTATTTATTTCCTATTTGCTAAATTTTTAGTAAATATTAAAAATAAATAATTATACATATTTAATAAATATGAAATAAATATAAACTAAAATTTTCTAAAAAAATTTAATTTTTTAATTAACAGTTTTTGCTGCAATTTTAAAGTATATTTAACTGTTAAATTAAATTCGTTTTCTTCACGAAAGAGGGGCCATAATGCCAGTTTAAAAAACATAAAATGTGAAAAAACATTTGAAATAAACGATATAAAAAAACTAAAAAAAAAGAAGAAACTTACTTAGCTAGCCTATTTAAAAATCCGCAACCGCAAATTTGATCATTTCCTTTCGACAAAACACACATTCCTTGATAAGTAAATCATTTTTACAACTTAAGTAATTGTTTACAAAAATATTAAGTAGAACTTTTTGTTTGTTTTTATGACAACCACAGTTAAAAAATATTTGTTGATTTTAACGAAATATTAACCATATTTTATGTTAATCCAGGTCCTCATAACTTAATGATAAGTTTACAACCAACTGCAATTTGTTAACTAATTGTATAAATAGTTTGTATTTATAACAAACTTTTTGTAGATTTAATAAAAAAACCTATTCCAATAATTCAACCATTATTCTTGTATTTTTCATAAATGACCATAATTTTACAAACTTTTTGCAGACCCAGTAACAAAATTATTTATTGAAAATTGGAAATTTAAATGAAAAGAATTTTGATAAGAAATGTTGCTTTAATAATCAATTTCCCAAACTTAAAAATAAATGAACACAAAAATAACATACACACAATTAAATAACAATCCATTCTAAAATTATCAAATTATAAAGAAATTTGATACAATATAATTATCAGTACCCACTTCACTGTATCCCCTAATTTCAGTTTGAAAATTAGTGATGGCAACTTTTTCGCACACTCGTTAAATAGGTATATACAGGGTGTGATTTAACTTAAAACTTTGAAAAGTCTTAGTATCACAGACCTCTTGTTTGTAGGTCTGTGCTTAGTATGCATTTTACGAAAAATTGTATAAAATAAAAATTAAATGATTCGAGGGGGGAAATTAATCATATATTATATCACGAGAACTATGAATTTAATCGGTTAAACTAGGCTCAGTAGTTTTTTGTTTGGTTTTTGTTGGAAAATGTTGAATGCAAAATAATTTAATAAAATCACGAGACCGCGTAGCGGTCGAGGGGTTTTATTTTTAATTATTTTGCATGAAACTATTTTCCAAAAAGAAAAATCAAATAAAGGCTTACTGAGCATAGTTTGACAGATTAAATTTATAGGTTGAGTGATATACGTCTAGATTATTTCTCGAATTAAAGGAAACTATTTGACAATTCATAAAATCTGACGTATGTGTCAAAATTTATAAATATTTTTTTAAAGAAAATTCCATTAATTTAAGGTATGTAATAAGTAATAATTGATATTTCGTAAACTAGATAACTTATTTTTTATTGTTTTTTAAAAAATGTTTGTTAAAACTTGTAAATAACACCATAAAATCGTAAACAAAAATCCAATATGGAGGCTAAAATTTAATCGCTGTTAAATAGTTCTAGTGATTTAATCGCTTATTTAAACGAAATTTATTCGAAAATTCAAGGCTTTTGATTGGTTCATATTATAATGAGGGAAATAATCAGTATTAAAATTGGTCCTCATACTCTCTTCCTTATAGGGGGAACAATTTACAAAATAAAATTAACAAACTTCAATCTTATTTTTATAACAGTGTAGATGACTTCTTTTTACATTTTTATTAATATAATGACTATTTTATTTTCTTTTTGACAGATGCCGGAACTCTTTTTGCCCGCCAACTACATAATAATGGCCGAATCGGAGCCCGACCTGAGCACGTTCGAGAACAAGACAGGGCTGGCTGAGGACATGAAGTTTCTCGCCTCTATGCCGGAACTTTGCGACGTCACTTTCCTTGTCGGCGATACCAGAGAACCAGTGTGCGCAGTCAAGGCCGTCCTGGCTGCGCGCTCTAGGGTCTTCCACAAAATGCTCTATTCAGTAAGTTTATTATTATTTATGTACTATGCTTCACACCTTAAAGTCCCACCACGTGACCACGTACGGAACGCAGTCTTTTGAAAATTTGGCATTTAAGACTTTTCAGGTTATGTATCTGTCAAAGTATAGTCAATGAAAGAAATAATATTTATAGTGTTACCGCTTATGTTTAAGCGTTAAAAGTTAATAAATCTTTATAGTATCACAATAACAATCGTTGGTTTAAGAATTTAGGAATATAAATACTGCATTTAATGAAATTCCAAAGTGTAAGGTGCAATATAAGTGATATTTTTGTGCATTGGGTCTACATTTCTCCATAAAATAGTTTTAACTAAAAAGCATTTATTAAAAAAAAATCTAACTTCCCTATTATGAAATAAAAATATCTGTATCAAAGGTAGGTTAATGTATTAGAACAAAAAATATCTAATTTTGTATTTTAAGGTTAGAAAATTCTATTTTGACCAAAATAAATAAGTGGATTATTTGGAAGAGTGTGTTAATATGGTCATAAATAAATATAGGTATACTAAACAATTGTTAAATATGGTTCAAATTAAATTGAAGCTTTTACACTTCTAATGACAAAACTTGTGCATACCTCTCGGCATACCTACTTTAAGTTAGATTATAAGAAAACAAACAGTTTTTAGAAAAACTTGCAATGTGAAAATATTTAATACTCCCATGACATGTGATTTATTAAAATTTTTAAAGTTATAATGATTTTTTGATGTAGATCAAATTCAGTTGAAGCTTTTTAACTATTTGTATTGACAAAACTTTATGTAGGTGTACTTTAAGCTGGATAAGAAAAACTACCACATTTTTAAATACCATATTATACATTTTTTTAAATAATCCAAAATACTTATTTATTTTGGTCGAAATAAATTTTTCTAACCTTAAAATTACAAAATTAGATGATATTTTTTTATAATACCTTTAATACAGATATTCTTATTCCATAATGGAGATGCTAGATTTTTTTAAATAAATGCTGTTTAGTTAAAATTATTTTATGGAGAAAACCAGATATTTGGACCAAATGCACAAAAATATTACTTATTTGGCACCATACACTTTAGAATTTCATTAAATGCAGTATTTATATTCTTAAATTCTTAAACCATTCATTGTTATTGCAATGTTATAAAGATTTATACATTTTTAACGCCTAAACATAATATTATTTCTTTCGTTGACTATACTTTGACAGATACATAACCTGAAAAGCCTTAAATGCCAAATTTTCAAAAGACTGCGTTCCGTACGTGGTCACGTGGTGGGACTTTGACGCGTGGAGCATAGTACTTGTTCTAAAACAAGCTTGTTTCAGTATTTTTATTTTTGTAAATAGAATTTGCCACTATTTTATAACTGAATTTTGCTATTTTTGTTCTGGATTTTAGGTTTTTTAATTTCTAATATCTATAAAAAAAAGTTAAAAATGGTTAACTTTTTATAATAAAAACTCATTTTTACTCGTATAATATTATGCTGCCATGAATTGGTAGATATATTTTGTCGTTTAAAATGCAGTTCTTTTAGAGGACTCAAATATAAAAATGTTTGATTTTAAGGTTATGTTTGTTGAAATGTTGACATTTCTTGAATTGTCAACCACCAGATGGCGCGCGCGTTGCAAAAACCCGATGCTTCTTTAGCTCTAAGGGCCAAAAAGTAATTATGTAACGTGATGAAATAGTACATTGTTTACCGAACGTGAAATCATAGCAATTACTCCCGATGATGAAAGTTTCCTAGCGAGCAAGTGAAGGAATTCATTGAGGGAGTAATGGAATCGCTTCCAAATAAATAATTTACTTTACGAATTTTGCTAAATTAAATTAAAAATTAAAATATTTGCTAAATTAAATCAAAACAATTAAATTTAATAACAAAATACTGGAATTGTTTTATTTATTTTAGGCCCCCAGTCCCCAAAGAAAAAAGGACCCACCCCCAAGAGAAAATAAACTGCGTTTGTTCCTAAAAAGGTCATCAGAACCTTTGTTAAATTTACAAAATGCTTCCCAACAGGTAAATACTTTTTTTTAATTTTAATAAAATTTTATGTATTAATGTAATCAAACTAAATAAAGACCCATAGGGAGTGCTGCAAAATATTAGGTGCAAATAGTTATTTATATTGTACATACAAAAATAAACCCTTAAGTAGTTAATACTATATAGGTATTTGGAAACATTTAAATAATATGTAAATTCAAATATCAAAAATGTAAAAATCCTAATATTATTAAAATGTTTCCAAAAATTTAATATAAATATAAAAAAAGATATTGATATGTTATTAGAGAGGGGGTTACACCCAGCAGCTGGCTCCTATCCAAGAGGTAATCCAAAAAGTCCAACACACCTTTTTTAATGCCATATTATTTATCAAACTGTATTTTTGCATCGTAATAAACACAAAAACTAGAAAGAAATATAGTGTTCTAGAAAAAATACATTTTATTTTAACTAAAAAAATCCAATAAGAGTTAACAGAACACCTACATTTTCTTTAGTTTTTTTGTTAAAAATTATTTTATTTAAAATGTATAATAATATATTACTTATATTTTATTCTATCTATACTTTTAAACTTTAAATTCTTAGAATTTTTTTATTTAGTTTTAATTCTTTTGTAAATAATAAAAATTTCCTGTTTTTAGAAATTTTTAGAAAAATTTTTTTTAATGTACAAATGAAAAAATTTTGGGTTCCTAATTTGCATGTTGTAAAATATTCGGAAACATAATTTTCTTTAAATAAATTTAAATAGTTAAAACTATCAAAACGTTTTTGTATGATTGTTAGGTATAAACTAGTTTTACCTTTTTAAAAGTATATATTTTAAGATGTTTCAACACCTTTACAAAAACTATGCACCAATACTTAAAACAAAAAATTAACAAAAATCCATTCCTAAAACTTACCTACTACCTATATATAACAAAACATTGTATATATCTTCTCTGTGGTGTTTATTTAGGTTAAATTATTACTACAAAATGCATGTTTTGGTAAAATACACTCACAGGCAAAATAATCGATCCACACAAATTTTCGATGAATTTCAATCGCAAATAACTTTTTTATTTGATTTCGGATTTAAACAAATATTAAAGAATGTTGTAGATACATTAATGAAGAATCGCTCACATTTTAAAAATTACTAAAAAATACACGTACGTTTATAATATACAGGTTTAAACAAAAAGATGTTTTTACCATAAGTTTAAGACACTCTGTAGAGTGGCAAAACCGTATATTATTCTAAATTAAGTTTTAATTATCAAGTCACATCTATTTTTAACAATTTTGTTTTTGGTTCACATTGATATATTTATTTTTGTGGAAAATATGGATTTAAAATAAAACATTCCAATTTCCAATATTTTCCTGTATGAAGAACTAAGGTTGCTATGGTCCATCCATAGCCTATGGAGGATGACAGTGACAGTTTTGTTGAATCATCCCATACTTGGACATGTCATATACATCTTTCAAAAGCTATCAAATTGTTTTTTGTAAATTAATGTGTTAATTTTGAGGTGTCTTCTTACTTTTAAAAATGTCTCCGACTGATGTTGCCCTTTGTACTTTACTTCGTGTGTCGTTTAAAACACTTGCCACGAAATTCTGTGACTGTCCATCCTGGATTAAATTAATGGCTCTGGCAACATCAGTCGGAGACATATCCATTTTTTAAAGTAAGAAGAGACCTCAAAATTTAAACATTAATTTGCAAAAAACAATTTGATAGCTATTGAAAGCCGTTTATGACATGTCCAAGTATGGGATGATTCAACAAAACTGTCAATGTCATTCTCCATAGCCTATGGATGGACCATAGCAACCTTAGTTCTTCATACAGAAAAATATTGGAAATTGCAATGTTTTTTCTAAAAATCCATATTTTCCACAAAAATAAATATATCGAGGTGAACCAAAAACAAAACTGTTAAGAATAGATGTGACTTGATAAATAAAACTTAATTTAGAACAATATAGGGTTTTGCCACTCTACAGAGTGTCTTAAACTTAGAGTAAAAAACATCTTTTTGTTTAAACCTGTATATTTTAAACGTACGTCTATTTTTTAGTAATTTTTGAAAATGTGAGCGATTGTCCATTAATTTATCTACAATATTATTTAATATTCGTTTAAATCCGACATCAAATAAACAAGTTATTTGCGATTGAAATTCATCGAAAATTTGGGGGGATCGATTATTTTGCCTGTAAGTGTATAATATTATAAATATTATTAATTTACGTTTTGTTTAGCCCCATCAGCAACAGCATCAAACCCTGATCATTGAAGAATTTGAACCTGATGTTTTCAGACAACTTATTGAGTACATACACACAGGATGCGTAACATTACAACCCAGAACATTACTAGGTAAATATGTTTACAATTTGGTTTTGTTAACTTTACATGCGAAATATCCCTTAATCACTGGAGGAAAGGGCATTGAGATCGTCTCTCAGCCTTACTACCACCAAACTGTGGAAAGCAAACAAATCAAATAATAGTCATACGTGCGTACTAAATAGGAGTGTCCCAAACAAACCTCTTCTTGTACCAAGATATAACTTTAATGGAGCCAAAACACCATAACCGACATCTCCAGTTTTAGAGATGGATCCAGAACTAAAATAGACTCTGGTGAACTGTAAAAACCCATCAATATGTCTCAGCAAATCGCAAAATCGTAAAATAATAAGAATCTCTTCACATACACAGAGAAAAAAGATGTTTTAATTCAAACAAGAATGTTTGTTTAATTTTATTTATTACATTTAAAAAAATATAAATTTAATTCAAAAAGATTTCTTTAAAAAGAATAATTGTCTTTATTTAAAAGGAAAAAGCAAATTTATTAAAATATATATTTAAAACAAAGTACCTGACTTTTATTTCTAAATTGCACTTATTCTGTTTAAATAAAAGTTGACTTTCTTAAATTATAAAAACAATTTACTTGTTTTAAAAAATTAAATAGTTTAAATTAAACAACAAATAATATTTTTTTAAAAACATGGTTTAATTTTAAAATATAATTTTGATTTAATTCAAAAAAATTAATTATTTAAAATAAACAAATTATTATTTAAATACAAAAAAATTGTAATTTGATTTAAAGCAGAGGTTTATTTAAACTTTTTTGCTCACGTCGAAGTAGCATGACTTGCATCCTATTGGTTGCTGTAAATCAGGCGACTGCAGGCACCCAATGGGCTTTCCATTTTGTATGTACGTGATTTTAGAGACTCCAATTTAGAGCAGGGTGTTGATGAGAAGTGTTGTGTGGCATTATAATAAAATAATAAATAATTTTATATTATTTTATACTATGGAGGACCTTTTAAAGGAATGGGGTCTTAAGAAATTTATTCCTGTTTTTAAAGGTAAGTAATTTAAATAATTACTTATCATTATTATTTGCAGACCCTGGTGGATTTATGCAGCACACATTAACATTAAGTTAAAATTAACATAAGTATTTTTTAAGTGAAGTATTTGTATATTTTAGGTTCCTATATGTATTTATAAGACTTTTATGCAATAAAGATTAGTGTTTATTCATAAAAAAATTAATTTATTTTTACTCCCCAATATACCAATATATATTAATTACTAGATTAGATGAAAAAAAACATTATTAATTAAAAAAATATATCTTTTAATCTGAATAAATAATTTTTATTAATTTAAATATAATAATTATTTAATTTAAATAAATAAATCTAAATTAAATTATATAATTCTTCTTAAATTTAAATTAAAATTTATTAATTTAAAAAAATATATCTCTTAATCCAAATAATTTGTTTTTAACACAAATATTATAGGTATTTAAGTTAAATAAATTAATTTTAAATGAAATAAATTATCTGTTTTACGTAAATAAAAACATTTCTTTAATTTAAAAAAATACATGTGTTTTACTTGGTTTTATTTCATACAAACTAATAATATTTGTTTGCGTTGAATAAATTAATTTTAAATTAAATAAATTAAAACAAATAAATATTTTTTTACATTCAAAAGAACATTTATTTGGGTATATCGAAATAAATAATTTATTTGATATAAATAAAATTTATTTAATTCAAATAATCTTTTTTCTCTGTGTAGTATGGCCCTACTGGCCTTAAGCAACAACAAAGTTGACTGGTAACGGAATGCATTGCTACACTGAAGCTGATTTCAACAATTTTATAGAACTTGCATGAGTAAAAAAAAACATAATGGAAATAAAGGAAATGAAAAGGCCGATGAACTTGAAAGATTAAACTGCTAATGGGTCCTGAACCTATCTTGGATATATCGCCATCGCCTTCAATTCCCAAATGAAGAAATCACCGAAGAAAAACAGATGGGTTAACTTAGTCTTGCCATCAAACAAAAACCAGAATTAGTATTCCGTCTGATAGGTTGGCAAAATATAGTGCGCAGCTCTTCCACAAAAATCTTTCTTATCTTGTAAAGTGTCACTGCAGACTCAATAAACACCCTCATACATTGGAAAAACGTAATGTATATCATTTATGATTGCCCTGATATTCCTAAGTTTAAAAGTCTAGTGTAGAAAAAGAATAGGTTCAACCCATCGAGTTAAGATAACTGATATTAGCTCTACATCTACCGCATTCCTCCTAAAATTCCTTCAGAAGCTTGGAATACTGAAGATCCATAGATATAAACAAGAATATTCAGGAAAAAGAACTTGAAGGAAGTACAAAGGCCCAAATGCGTGTGATTATGTTATTTCTACCCAACCACATGCCTTGATCACCATGGTGATCAAGGCATGTGGTTGGGTAGAAATAACATAATCACACGCATATAAACATAACTAAATTTAGCTTCGACCGAGAAAAAGGCATGAAAATGTACACAAGGTGACAAAACAAACAAATATGCCGGTTCATCATCATCATTACTTTGTTGTCATTTTATTCTACTATCACATCATTTTAGGTGTTATGAATGCAGCAGATTACTATGGTTTAGATGAGTTACGTCGGGCATGTGCTGGTTTCGTCCAATGCTGTATAAATGTAGATACAGTGTGTGCTCTATTGGCCTCTGCAGAAAGATACATACAGTATAAATGCACAAAATCCCTAGTACAAAAGGTAAAGTACCAAAAAAGAAATTTTGCATTTTCTTGTGCTTCAAAAGCTTATGAAGCCTTATGAGGTACATTCGTTTTTTTATTTTTAACTATGAAATCGACCCTGATTTACCATAAAGGATGTACAAGTGAATATTACAGGGAATTTAAGTCAGATATGCCTTGGAAAATGTATGTCCTACCTAATTTTACAAACTTTAAATCTGTTAAATACATTTTTCATAATGTTATATTCTATATGATTTCTTATTATTGTTCATGAAAGGCAAAGGGTACCTGTTAAGATGTTTTTGTGGCTTAAGGCAAAATGATATTAGAATAGCTAAATCTTCGCACCACCATTAATCCTTCTACTATTTTTTTCCATATCTGACTGTCTGCCATGTTATTTTCTTCTGTACATGGTACCCCCCGTTTCCTTAATGAGGACACACACATTTCCATCTACTTTTTCCAATTGTTTTTCTTCTTTTGTAATTCTGTGCAGTTTTTCGTTTGACGATGTGTTGTGTCAGACTATACCGCATATAATTCTTAAATATTTGTTAATAAAGGTTTGAATTTTTCCTGTGTAAGTACAATTTTTGCATTAGTATAGCCTTCACTCCCTTTTCTGTTCTAACTTCTTCAGAAAGTTTTTATACAGGTTCTATCTTTGCTATATACTTTTTACAAAGCATCTTTATTACTTACGTAAATTTTTCGGGTACGCCATAGAACCTAAGAATATAACACTTCCTTTGCTTGCTACTCTTCAAAGTATCAATTATCTCCAATTCTAAAATGCAAATATATCCTTTAGGTTTCCTTTTTTTTGTAATTACAGTCCTGAAGAAATTTTCTTCCCTCCATATTTTGTTTAATAGGATCTAGAATAACTCAACGAATAATGTTAATTCAGTTGTTACCCCTTCTATTTCCCCTGATATGCACATAAAGGATCAAGAAATAATACATTCATTTATATATTTGTAAAGGGTTTTTTAATAAAAGCGATAGACTTTTAAAGTGTAATTAAACAAGGTGCAATAAATAGTAAAGTATTTCCTGAAGAGGACTTAATTCGGTAGCACTATTTTCAATATCAAAGGTTATTGGTATTTTTTGTCTCAGTTTTAATAAAAATGCAGCTTACAGTACCAAAGGCTATGTTGTTAAAGAATTGTCGATTGTAGTCGTAAAAAAGGCTTTTTCTAATACACAAACCATTATTTTTAGGTTCTTGAGTTTGTGGACGAACATGGAAACGAAGTGCTAAATCTAGGGTCTTTCACTCTTTTACCACAACACGTAGTAAGACTGATTTTGGTCAGGGATGAGCTTCAAGCTGACGAGTTTACGAAATTTCAAGCTGCTCTTATGTGGGGTACGTCGAAAATTTTCTTTTAATATTATGATTATGCTGTGATCGATAGGAATTTTAATTAAGGGAATTTTTGTTTTAGGAAAAAAATATTGTGACAGCAACCCAACAATAAACATAAAAGACGTAATAGGAAACTTTCTGGAGTACATACAGTTCCACAAAATCCCAGCCAACGTATTGATGCGCGAAATCCACCCGTTGGGTCTGGTCCCGTACAGCATTATTATGAACGCGCTGGCATATCAGGTGCAGTACATTTTAAACGCTTTCAAATTTTTTTACATGCAAATCTTACTTAACAATACGCTAATTAATTATTTTAGAAGCACTTGCCACTAATAATAACTTGCATTTTGACATTAACACTCGCTCTGGATGATGACAAGGTGATTCTAATACTTCATAATATGTATTATTCGTTACTATACTCTACAATCACATTGTACAATAATTTTTGAAAATGTCAAAATATCGACAAAGGCAAACAAATTTGTTGTACAGTGTCATTCAATGCGCTTTTAACTTTAGAATCACCTCATTTTAGACAAAAAGGTGACTAAGAGTGCGCAGATCTTTCGATTGTTTTAAGTCCACAGAAATATGGAAAAATTAATAAAATAATGCTGCGTACTTTTAGGACTACCTACCGTACTATTTAGATTTGTAGTGTAGGAAAAAATTGATTTGAAACAGTTGGTTTAATGCCCCCTTCTATTTTTTATATAAATCATTAAACATTTTACACATACACTCTTAGTTTATTTACGTTACCATTTAGTTGAAGTTAGCAAGCTTAGGCTTTTTAATGTATTTAGTATAGATTTTATATACAGAGTAGACATTATCCTAATGAGCCTACGATTTTTAAGATTAAAACCATTATTATAACTAATAATTGGAAAATAATCTACTTATATCAAGTCACGTTAATAAATATCATTATATAATTTTTTAATAAAAATGCCGATTTTGTCCTGCTCTACAGTAGAGGCAAAAACAAACGACTAGCACAGGAGGTATAGCACAAACAAACGTAATTTATAAGATTTAATATTAAAGTATATTGTAAATAAAAAAAATTAAAATAATTGCTCATTGCATTCATTTCTCAGCATACTCTTAAGTTTTTATTAATTTTTTATTAAATAGCTTACAAGATAATGATTTTTTAATAAAACAGTGTAAAAATGGTCAATTGCACATTGTTAATAAAAAAATTAAGACATGACTTGATATTAATGAGTAAATTATTTTTTAATACTAGGTAGGTTCTAATTTTCCTGGCAACGTTAAACTCGTAGGCTTATTTGGGTAATTTCTACTTTAAAAAGTTTTTAAAAGTTTTTCTTTAAGTTATTGTTAGGTAGTTTTAAAATAATAGGAATATCTATCCTTAGAAATTAAACTATCTCAATTAATAATATCCTTGTTAAAACAATGAGAAACACTTTAAAATATTAATTAGATATTCTTAAATTGTTTCTCAGAAAAAATGTAAAGTAAATAAAAACATAATATAAAAAATAAAATCTGCATTAATGACTGACTAATTAAATAAAGTTTTAACGAAATTTACATAAATTAATAATGTTTCAAAAAATTTAATCTAAGTTTAAAAGAAATATTTTTAGGTAGGTAGACCTGTACCTATTATTTTTCATTACAATTTTTAATATTTTCTACTTTTAAAATTTAGAAAATAATAAAAATTTTAACAAAAAAATAATGCCTGATAAATATTTCTTCAAATAAATTTTTTTAAATATTATTAATTTATGTAAATTTACTAAAAATTTATTTTATTATTTAAAAAAAATGGCGAATGCACCGGGAGAGAAACCTTTAATATTTATTATTTACAAGGTTTGCGTGTCGAGTCGCTAGACGAGAAACACAAACTATTCTATTATATGATATAATATGCATATATCCAAAAAATTAAAATCCGATTACGGATTTGCAAGTTAGAGCCAAAAAGGTGTGAAATATATAAATAAAACAAAGAATTCCATAAAAAAATATTTTAAATGTATAAGTTTTGCTCCGTTATCTGCTAACAGCAAACTTTTTTAAACGTTTCAACGTTATCTGAATTATTATTTGTGAGATTTGAAGGTGGTGTTTTGTAGACTTGTGTTTTTAAATGACCCCAAAGAAAAAATCAAGTGCCGTTAAATCTGGAGATTTTGCCGGCCATTCTTAGCACCTCTTCTTCCCATCCATTTCTATGGAAACCTTTGGTTTATCCATTCTCTGACTGGTAAAGCAACATGTTTTTCCTTGTTCTTCCATCTGATTTTCTAATGACTGGGTAATAAGTGGGTCTATAACATTTTCAAGAAGATCAAAATATAATTGTCCAGTTAAGTTTTCTTCGATAAAAAACGGTCCAATAATTTTGTTGCCAAGAATACCAGCCCATACATTGATTTTTTAAGGATACTGAGTATAATCCTCTCGAAAAGCATGTGGATTTTCATTGTCCAATTACCTACAACATTTGAATTTTATAAGGGAAAACGTATTTATTTTTAGCACCCTATAAACGAAACCAACAGAAATATTTGTTAGTCCACAGCATAATGACCGAGTACTTCAATTTGTGCAGATTCCTCCAGTACACTTAATCTTGTGTGTTTTCTGTTGCACACTAAACCAGTTTCCCTAAATTTTTTCACTAGGTTACTAACATATTGATGAACCTTAAATGATTAACTTATGTTTGTAAACAGTAAAAATGATTTTCTTTTGATATAATTGGATCATAGCAAACTCGATTATGTTTCTGTTACCTTAATTTACCTGATGGATGTAAAATTTTGTTGAAAGTAAAAGCCAAATTTAAAACAATTCACAAAACATATTTTCAATGAGGGTACAATATTTTTCGTATCCGTAATACGCCACTGAGTAACCTACATAGTATTTTATTTGTTATACTAGGGCATTACTTTATTATTTAGTGTTCAAAAGTTATAAATCAAAAACTATTTTTTCTACGACCACTATGTAAAATCACATTTTGTAATGGCATCGTTGCTTAGAAAATGAATATTTTCATTGGCAAGGTAAAACTCGAATGTAAAGTGACATTTATGTGTGAAAAGAGACATGTCTGTGTGAAAAGAAATTGACAGCATCGTTTGACATTCGTTTCCATTTTTGTATTGTATTTGTATATGTATGTCTAAATATCATTTAGAACACAATTAATTGTGTTTGTATAATACATTCTAATTTTAGTGCCTTTATTTAAATTGAGAAGGTATGTTTATTGATTTTAAGTAACTTAAACCTTAAAAATGATGAAAGTAATTTTAACAGCTGTCAAACATGTTTTTAGGTTATTTTGTTTTGTATTTGAATATATAATAATAAAAAATAAAAGGGTCCTAGATAATAGTTATTTGTTTTACAAGTGTTGAAAAGCGACTTTTTCATGCGAGTGTTTAAGTTGCTCACGAGGCCGTTGGGCCGAGTGTGCATTAACACGAGCTTGAAGAAAGCTTTTCTTACAAGTGAAACACAATGTTTTTTCTACGACCCTTTTATTTTTTATTATTTTCAAATACAAATCAAATTAATCTAAAAACGTGTTTGACAGTTGTTAAAATTACTTTCATTTTATTTTTTTAATTTTTAAAGTACAAGTTACTTAAAATCAATAAACTTACCTTCTCAATTTAAATATATTTATAAAGGCACTAAAAATTACAATTTAGTATACAAACACAATTAATTGTGTTCTAAATGATATTTAGACATACATATTAAAATACAATACATATTTTGAAACCAATGTCAAACGATGCCGTAAATTTCTTTTCACACAGAAATGTCACTTTACATTCATTCATTGTTTTGTCTCGCCAATGAAAAGATTCATTTTCTAGTGGTCGTAGAATAAACATTGTTTCACTTGTGAGAAAAGCTCTTCAAGCTCGTGTTAATGCACACTCGGCCTGACGGCCTCGTGAGCAACTTAAACACTCGAATGAAAAAGTCGCTTTTCAACACTTGTAAAACAAATAACTATTACCACCCTGTAACTTAGAAATAAAGATACGTAAAGCATAACTAAAATATTCCAGTAAAGGATTTGGCTAAAAATGTCATTATTAAGCCATAAAACTATGTTCACGGTGCTGTTCTGAGAGGTGATTTTTGGACTTTCTGTGAAACCTAATTTTTTTTTATATTCTTGTTAATTAGGTCATAACTAAAATTTTAAAAGCAAAATAAAAAAAATTTGACGGTTAATTTTGTTTTTATTGGATGTTTATTAAAAATATGTATGCACACTTTCAATTCTCCAATTAAAACTTGCGATTTTATTTAAATATTATTATAACTTTTTAAATCAGATTAAAGATTAGTTAATTTCCTAAGAAAAGGTCTATACATTTTTTATATCTTTTACTGTTTTGTTGTAATAAACGTTTAAAGTTTTAATTTAAGGTTAAATGTATAGTATACATTTATTAAACAATAATTCTAAGGGTGCCATATTTTATTTAGGGCCGATTTATTCATTTTTGATTTATTTGATGAATAATTTCTTTGGATACTAGATATTGCCAAGACATGAAAGTTATCGGCCCGATAAACTTTACTAAAGATGAATAAACCGGTCCTTAGTTAAAATTTATGAATTTTTTCGTAACTTTTACTACAATTTTTCATTTTTGTTTATAAAAAACACTTTAAAAAACTAAACAAAAATTATAGAATACGTATACTGAAAATGACAATTCAAACGTCAAATAAATTTTTAATAGATCTAAGTTTCATGGCAACCTTTAAGGATATATTAATTAAGGGAACATAAATGTATACGTCAAAGGTTAGATTAAAAGTTTGAACGTTTATTGCAACAAAACAGTAAAATATATAAAAAAAATTGTAAAAACCTTTTTTTTTAGTTATGCAAATATTAAATATTTAAATTAAATCGCTAGTTTTAATTGGATAATTGAAAGAGTGCATCATATATTTAATAAACAGCCAATTAAAACAATTCAAACCGTCAAATTTTTTTTATTTTGCTCTTAAAATTTTAGTTATGACCTAATTAACAAGAATATAAAAAAAATAGGTTTCACAGAAAGTCCAAAAATCACCTCTCAGAACAGCACCGTGATGTTGTGACTTAGGTGTTTGCTGGGTTAAGTTTTTTTTTTAAATAAATAGTATTATCGATTATATTATAAAAACAAATTAATTGAGATAGTTCTGCGAGCTAGATGGCTGTGCTGTGTGGCTTTAGACTTAGTCCGGCTTTGTTTATCTCTCTTCCGCTCAGTTAACCGTCACAACGCCTCGATGGTCAAGCACTAGGTGTTTTAGGCAGACCCAGCAAGTATCGACCCCGGAAAGCTGTCACCAAATCGAGTAAGACGCCAGCAGCAAGGCCGGAGCATGTCGGTGCAGAGCTCCGACCCCTACGGCAGCAACACGACGCTGAGCAGCAGCCCTTCCAGCGAACTGGCCAGCTCCGACGGAAAGCACTCCACCTCCAACTAACATAAAGCCACTGTCCCTCCTCCTGGTCCGAGCGCCCCGCCTAACCCCCCTTCCACCTCCCGACAGCCCTCCCAGAAGTCACAACGCTCCAGAAAGTCCAGCTCTTCGTCCCATCACTACGTCACGTGTACCCCGCAAAGTTCTCCGTACAGGGCGCCACCTACGGTGACTGTCTCAAGCAGCAGTCCTTGCAGCACCCATGGAAGCCCCGCGCACTCTTTTACTTTCACTATTGTGCTCAAAAAAGTCACCCCGAAAGAGTAGGATTTTTTATTTTGACAAAGGAAGAATAACCATTTTTTTCATTTGGGCAAAATCAAGCGTTACAATAAATCAAAACTAAAAGTACTTAAAATAACCCATTACAATGTAAAACTTATTTAAAGAAAAAATAATCTATTTAAAACAACTTAATCCATCCACTATAGCTTTTTATTAATTTTGAGTGATTTTTTCATAATATTCAAAATTTCAGAAGTAATTACCATATACAGGTTATTTAAAAATAGCCCTATATTAAAAAAGTTCCACCCGTGCATTTTTAACGTTTTTTGTGTCCATTTAGATCGTAGAACTTTTGCTACATTTTAGAATCATTGATTAAGAACAGTGGTTTCTGGCAGAAAAACTCGAGTGATTTTTATAGGCTTTTTAAAATCCATTTTATTTTACACAAATAATAGAGCAAACCATTCTCTCTTAAAATGAATTAGTCATATTTGACTAATTGTCATAGCGAAAAAGCAGTCACTAATAATTAGTCAAATTCTACTGAATGAAATAGTCAAATTAGTAGATTTGAATTTAAAAAAAATTTGACCCAGCCGGGGATTGAACTCAGGGCTGTCACTTGTCAAGTTTGTCAAGCTGTTGTCATAACCCATTCGGCTATCAGCCGCTCTTATAAAAATCAATTTTATTTGTCAATAAATATTGTTCTTAATATTTTATTTGTGTTGCTGTTTCGAGCTAAACTTTTTGTATCTTTATTTGTTTTTATGGGTCATTTAACCATGGAGCTTAAAGTATATGCATTTAATTGTTGGCCGCAAACGATTAAAGAAATTAGTTACTTTTAACTCTCAGAAATAGTCAAAGATGGTGACTAATCTTAAATTAGTTAATTTTTAACTATTTAAGTAGTAAATAATAACTTTTTAAAAGTGAAAACGACTATTTTATTAGTAAAAAATGCTGGTACTAATTTAAATAGTAGAATTTTGACTATTTGCAAAAATGCAGCCACTAATAATTCTAGTTAATAGCAATTTGTATCCCGAACATTTACCAGTCAATTTCTATGTAAAATTGTCCCCTGAATCCGAAAATATCGCCAAAAGTTATAAAATTGAAACATTGCTTGAGATATAGTCAATTTTCTATATAACACAGTGCAACAGCAAAAAAAAATATGATGTTCTTAAAATGTTTTTCGTTTCTCCTATCCAAAGAATGCCTTTTATCGTTTACAAAATGTTTGGATTGATTCAGGTTTTTTTAGTATCGATTTTAAGTTTTTATTAATTTTGGAACCCGAAAAACCGTTATTTATTAATTTAAACCAATTAACTGGTAGGAAATTGTTGTCATAACAATAAATTAAAAAGAAATAATAAAAAATAAAACAAATATTAAAAAAAAACACTATAAATTATTTCTTTCGTTAAATAGTATAAAGTTAAGATAATAAATTTTATTAAAATGGCAAATAATTGTAAAGGCAAAATACATTCATTTTGTTACTTGTATGGAATTTGTTTTTAAACAGTACAGGCATACCATTTCATTAAAATTTGTTATATCTTTTATATTGATTCATTCTATTTGTTAAAAAGAATATGTTTTTAATAATTAATATAATAATAATATAATAATAATAATAATAATAATTACCATAAATATTATTATGGTAGAAGCGAAAGAACTAAAAAATTGCACTACAACATATTAAATCCAGAAAAAGGTTCAATTTAAAAAAAAATGCATTTTATTGTTCTCATTATTTTTTATTTAATAATTTTTTTTTATTTGATTGATATTACTTTATAAAACAATGTACAAAACCAACAATAATCTTTTATGTACTACTTATTTATTATTTTACGATATTTCGGGATCCAGAATTACTAAAACTTTAAATTGATATTAAAAAAAATCAATCTAAACATTCTTTAAATGATTGGAGGCTAAAATTTAATCGCTGTTAAATAGTTCTAGTGATTTAATCGCTTATTTAAACGAAATTTATTCGAAAATTCGATTGGTTCATATTATAATGAGGGAAATAATCACTCATATTTTCGAACTGTCTAAACCCAAAAAACGTTAAAAAAATATACAGATTTTCAATGATGTGTTATTTTTAAAGACCCTGTATATAAAAAACTGAGTTATAAAATAGGTCCGACAATGCTTTTCATACGATGAAGGATCACAAGGACCAAAAATCAAAATTTCCTAAAACGATTAAACACTAAAACAAAAAAGCAATAATTCAGATAGCATCGTTTGTTATACGGTATATATTTTATTTTTGAATGATATCTGGATTATTATTGTATATACTTGTATATGTATTACGTATTAATTAAAATGTTTATCTACAAAGCAATTGCAATTTGAAGAAAATTTTTCACGAAAAAAAAAGTTTTCGATGAAGTAATATTAGATTATATGATATTTAAAAGGCTTACCTATATTATATTATTCTTGATTGAGTTTATTTATTAGATATATTGTCCAAAAAAGGAAAATATTTCCGATAAATATAAAAAACACTTAATCATTTTACTACTTATTTTTAGAATTTTAGGTAAAATAAAATAATGTTTTACACTTGGCTGGACGTAGGACCAAAATTATTTGAAATAGAGGACCAAAAAAATGTACAATTATAAGCTATTTCCAGGTAATAATTTTTCGAAAAATTAAAGCTTGGACTATATTTTAGAATAAGCTTTTTTATTTTAAGTTGCTGATTATAAAGAAACTTTGTACAAACTACAAAAGATTTATTATTCTTTGAATATAATCATTTTACATTGTAATGGTTTAAAAAATAAAAATGTGACAATCATGTTAAAATACCAACCTAATCAAATGTGTAAAAGTCCAAATAAAAAAAACCAAAAAATCACGAATGTTCGCTCATTTAATTTAAATTTTTATACAATAGGGGACAAAGCTAAAGGACTAAAGGAATAAAACAATAATTGCATTATATCTTATAGCAATATAACTAAAAATAAATCATTAAAAAAATACGTGGTTTGAACAATTAGTTCGTTCTGTAAACGTAGCAACACTGTTGGTTAGCTGTTAAAGTAAATGAATTTTGATTTTAAGTGCATTTTTGTCAAAAATTTCAGTTCTTTTACATTGGACGGCAGTACTCTGCAGTGTTGGTATGTTTTTAGAAAATCTGAGTTTAAAAATTGTCCAGTACACGTAAATTTGTGTATAAAAATAGTATATTATAATTGGTACTATTTTTTAAACAAATTATTGTTACAATCATACATCTGGCCCATGCCAGAATAAATCCTTAAAAATATTATTGTTATTTTAACCTAATGTCTTAACCCAAAAATGTGTACCTACCAATTGTTAACCAAAAAAACCCTAAACAATTCACAAATAATCTTTTTATTAACTCCAAAATCCCAATTCCACCAAGAGAGGAAACAGTGGCTAAATATGTATCTTATAATAGTAATATTTCCCTAACATACTTAAAATATTTCTTGGTAAAACTGAGCTTATACTTATTTTATGCCACTAGATAAAATTGTACAGAAAGATTGAAATCATAAAATAGTCAGTAAGAATAAACTTTTGTACCGAAAAATTATATTAATTACCTTGTTAATTAAAAATTAAATTAAAAAGTAAATAATTGAGATTAAAAATAGTGGCATGAAACCATCTTTACCTAAATCTTTTCTATTCTAAATCATGTAATACTATATAAACGTATATAAACTAAGTAACAAATATATGTTAAAATAATAAATAAATTTGGTAATTGTTGTAACAGTTATGTTGTTTTAAACATTGGACATTGGTAAACTATTTTTATTGAACTACATATTTCTCTAGTTTCGTAAAAATAGACAAACTAAAAGTTTTCCCTATACGTTAGCACAAATAGTGGCTGTTTCCGCAGGGCTAGTTCAGAACTAGGCAAGCGCATTTTAAAATTTGGCGTTCAAAATGTGAAATGCGCATGAAAAATTATAAAATGCGAATGCCCAAGATGTCTGAACTAGTTTGGGATTAGCACCGCGAAAACAGCTATATAAATAATATTTGACTGATTTTTGCATTTATTTTTACATTTGAAAGGCATAATGCAGAACTTAATATACCTACATAATATGTTGTACCTCTCCTTTTTATATATTTTTTTATATTTTTGTATGTATTAAATAATTACTTAAAAATTATTGTCTAACTAACTAAATGTTATTTGTATAACTCATCTAAACAATCTACTAATTTAAAATGGCCATTGTGAAAATATAAACGTTGACAAAATTGGTAACATATAATAAGTGGGCTAAGATGTTATAAAATATATTTATTTAGTAATTTTTTTTGTTTTATTTTTTAAACTAAAATGGTCTTGAAAAGACAAGTTCAAGTACAGATAACTGTACAATTGAATCGGTGAGAATAATAACAGTACAAGTCGAAACATTTAATTTTTAAAAAAATCAATTTTAATTTTCAAAATAAATTTTTGTGAGAAGATATAAATTATTTTACAGAATATGAACATATCGGTTTGTATTCCTGTCTCTAGTCATCGTGGCTGAAATATAAGCAAAAAAGCATCCATGCTTAAAAATTCAAAAATATGCACGAAAATTATAAAAATGGTCAACGTCAAAATATTCATTTATAGGCACTATCAGAATCCACACAACAAGGTCTGTTCTATCTCGTACTAAAAGTACAAAAAATCACTGCAACACTGCGCAGTTTAACGGCGGCCATTTTTGTTTACAATTCTTGTGCTTTGGGTTTGCGCTGTTTAATAATTGTTTTAAACGTTGTGTTTCTTACAGAGGCACTTGTAAGCCTCAAATAAGGCCTTTAAGTGATAAGGACCACCATTTTACTCCTCTTTTATAATAAATATACCTTATTCTATCAGGGATGTCAAATGACAATTTGAACCCAAGCAGCAAAGAATGACACATTTTGGGCAATGTGTCGACACAGCGTCGAAACATGATTTTGGACACGACACATTTTAAAGACACAAAGTCCACTTTAAGACCACTAAGTGTGGAAAATGAGACCAAAGTGGTGATGAAAGTTGTACCAAAAAGTGTCCATAGTTTGCCCACAAAATGTGCCCGATTTTTTCTTAAAATTTGCCCACAATGTGCCCGGTAGTGTGACCGATTTATGCCCAAAGAGTTTCTAATTTTTATGT